CTGCGTACACACGGGACTGCTGCGTACACACGGGACTGCTGCGTACACACGGGACGTCTGCGTACACACGGGACGTCTGCGTACATGTGTCTAAATGCGGTGTACGCAGCGGCCTCCTCACTGAAGCCCGGCGGCTGCGTACACGCGTGTGCGTTCCTTGCAAGACGTACACGCGTGTGCGTTCCTGGCAAGACGTACACGCGTACGCGTTCCCCGCATGACGTACACGCATGTGCGTGTGTACAGCTACACGCTGGCGTGTGCGTGCGCGTGGCGGGTAGGTAAGGGGGGTGGGGAGGGGTTCCTGGGGTGGGCTGGCGGCTTACCTCCCCCTTTTACCCTCTCTGCCCCCTCTCTATCCACCCACCCTCCCCCTCCCAACTCTTTATTGCTCATTCCATCTGTTGCCCTTTCAACTTTCCCCCTACACCCCCTCCCTCTCCCTTCATCCTCTNTAGTATACAATATATTTAAGTTCGTACAAACGTATATATGTTATAGAGTGATATAGTTTCTATATTTCACTAAATTATTAGTTATTTAACTAAAAATTTAAAAGCAAAGAATAGTCCACAAAAATTCATATCTTTATAGAAAACGTTTCGGAGTCCAGCTCCATCGTCAGTGGAGCTGGAGCTACGAACTGGCGATGGAGCTGGACTCCGAAACGTTTTCTATAAAGATATGAATTTTTGTGGACTATTCTTCGCTTTTAAAATTTTAGTCAACTTGCGATCTAAGCAAATAAGTGACATTAATATTAGTTATTTGTTGTGTGAATTTCATGCAGTATTAGTGAAACATTTTCTTCAAGACCGACTGGTTTTGTTGAAGGTCCTGCGCAAGATGTGTATAAGAGACAGCCCTCGCCCCGTCTCCCGATCACCCCCCCCCTCACCCCCGATACGCACGATGGCCTCAAGTCACTTAACGAAATATGAAATGCTAAGAAAAATTCAAACAAAATCCCAAACAAAATAGGCACTATACATGACTAAATAAAATAGATTCTATACAGGGCTAAACAAAACTACTCCACACAGGGCTAAAGAAAGCTACACTATACAGGGCTGAATGATTCTCAAATCATATCTTGCTCTGACGCGTATATTATCATCCCCACATGCTCCAGGACCTTATTCCCCACAGCTTCCCCACGAGGTTGCTCACTCAGGGAGGGATGTGGGGATCACGTCGCGCTCTTTGTTAGGACTCACCTCCCCCCCCCTCCCACGAGGGGACTCGCGTGGGGCTACGTGATGTAGCCGCTCTCTAACTCGTGGCGTCGTATACGAGTATAACTATACTGGGGGATAGTCATATTATAAGATGATAGACATATGATGTCATATTGATAAGAGAACCAGGTGATGGTAGGTAATCGTGTTAGTAATAGTGGTGAGTTTAAATATATACATGATTATATAAAATACATGAAATACATTAAATATATACATGATATGATAAGGCACTGACAGTCATAGTAATTATGAAAATCGTGCATATTGCAGTGATGAGATGAAGAAAACTGCGCCTAACATCCAAATGCCTAATAAAGTATCTCATAAATATATCCCTACATGTTAAATATATTATTAAATATATTAAATAATATCGTTTGTTTGCTATTATATATTACTAATATTTTTAAGCTAAGCTTATGTGGTACAAACTTTCTTCCCAGACTGCATAAAATGAACTCATTAATATACACACCAATAGTAAAGGTACTCATAGTCATAGCTTCCTATGCTAAACATGGATAAGCTTGTGCGGACCATCTCGTTCTGCTCCGTTTCATTAAAAACAGAAAGTGCAAATATTGAGAATATGGTCGATAATCATGATTATATGATAAAGTTACATTGAGTAAATCATATCATGAATAAACGCAAGATACGAGCACAAACTTGTTGACAAAACTATTTTCCATTTTCGAACTAAAACGGCTACAGAATTGACAAAAATTAATATGCGAGCGTCAACTGTATTTACACGTTTAAGTTTTACTAGTTGGATGTACACTGTTGTGCTGTGGTCCACCACAACTACTCCTGCCAATAGAAAACTCGAGTATTTTCGATAAGAATTTTGAAAAAACGACATTGAAGCACAAACTTTTGTAAAAATAAAATTTCTGGTTTGAAGGAACCAGCAATCTTGGACCGTGCAACTGAAGCGATCCTTGTATTGCTAGTGTAAACGACGTGCTTGGTTAATAGCTTGCATTACCAAATGGTGTTTTACCACGGCCGTCGTGTGGTCAGCGCAGGTACCACGACCGTCGTGTGCTCAGCGCAGGTACCACGACCGTCGTGTGCTCAGCGCAGGTACCACGACCGTCGTGTGCTCAGCGCGGGGTACCAGTACAGTCCTGAGCAAATAATCGGTGGGTTGATTTAAATGTCTGAGTAAAGTCCCTTCAACCCCCACCCATCTGAGCGGATGCGTCCAGCATTAGGTTCGTAATGCTATTCTTACCGGAATTCTGGACTTAATGACGTAGTAAACGTTTAAATGCGACGGCGACAGAGCGCCACTAGGGACCATGAGTAAAAAAATGGACAAAGAAGGCTGGGAGGGAGAGGAGGGGAAAGATAAAGGGCAGGGTAGGTAAAGGGTGAGATCAGGCAACGGGGAGAAGGGGGAGAAGGAGAGGGAGTGGGAGTGAACGGTGACAGTGAAGTATAGCTAACCCCCCGTCATCCCCTCACCCCCATCTCTTCGTTGAGGGAACGATGGGGGGGGGCCGAGAGGGGGTGAGTGGCCGGAGAGGGGGTGAGGATGATAAATATGAATTGCCGTGATGAAAGGGCCGCGAGGCATGACCGAGGCGTGGAGACAGACGGTGTGAGGCGTGGAGACAGACGGTGTGAGGCGTGGAGACATGCGGTAGGCGGTGTGAGGCGTGGAGACAGGCGGTGTGAGGCGTGGAGACAGGCGGTGTGAGGCGTGGAGATATTCTGTGTGAGGCGTGAAGACAGAATGTGTGAGGCGTGGAGACAGGTGGTGTGAGGCGTAGAGACATGCTGTATGTGGCTTGGGTACAAGTTGTGTGAGGCGTGGAGACACGATGTGAGGCGTGTAGACGCGATGTGAGGAGTGGAGACAGGCGGTGTGAGGCGTGGAGACAGGCGGTGTGAGGCGTGGAGACAGGCGGTGTGAGGCGTGGAGACAGGCGGTATGAGGCATGGAGACAGGCCGTGTGAGGCGTGGAGACAGGCGGTGTGAGGCTTGGGGACTAGTGATGTGAGGCGTGGAGACAGGCTGCCTCCTCAAATTAATCAGGTTCGTGGGACGGAATCGGCTGTCGTATTCAAAGGTCACTTATCTAAGACAAATTACATGTTATTTCTCTAACAAAGCTAGATATTGGGCACCTATCTAGGCTACTTGTCCTTACTCATCAAGCTTACCCTTTACACTCAGTATTATTCATAAGGCATCCTTTATACGCTCAATATTTTAACTTTTACCAGAATATTGCCTAGTAATACTGAGCGCCTAGGCCATAATGCCATAGGGGCAACTATGTCGCGTGATTTCGACGAGACGCGTCAGTCGGGCTCTTTATAGATCAAGAACTAAGGCATACGGCATACCTAAATAATGTTCCCAATATCAATGTTCTCTAGGTACAGTAATAGACATCAGCCATCCTTAATTTATATATTATTGATGATGGGCATGTAACGACATAGGTAGTCAAATTATGCAGTTAGGTGTGATGTAGCACAAGAAAGAGGGGACTTACAATGCTCATGCTAACAAACGTTTAGGCGGCTAAGCGTTTGTCATCTTACTTAGTCAATCAATAGTCATCAGTGTGTCGTTGGCAGTCGATTTGATTGGTGTGCTTGTTGTTAGTGTAACTACGACATTCATGAATGCATCATTTTGTAACTGAAAACGATTAGTTAATTTGAGTGCGAAGGTTCAGGTGAGGTGGATAAATTGTACTTTTTCGTTCCACATGAACTCAAATCCTTATACGTTATTTAGAATGAGGTGGTTTCTTAGTTCTGAAAGCACTAGGCTACCCGTCAACTCGCACAACTGGCGTCAAATCAGATTTTGTATGTTCACCATCTGGGATGTTGCCGCCGATTGAAAATGACGCATTTCGTGAAGAAAATTATTTTGTACAACGAAATTGTTCGATTAAAAGAATTTCTATTAGACAATGGTTTTTCGATGGAGTTTTCCGTAGCTAGCTAATATGATAAAATGGGATGCGAGCGGAAAATACCTAATTTTTAAGGATGGACTTAGCTATGTAGGGATTTTGACTGCATTGCAATAATTATACTCTGTAAACAGTTACTATGTAATATACTCACGAATATTAATTTGTGAGCAGCTTACGGTTTCGCACGATTCACGAATGACGATCACACACGAAGAATAAGATCGCAAACTAGGTAATGCGATCGATACCAACTTTGTTCGGTGTTTGCACATCTGCCTGACGGCCCATCATGAAATATTCTGCCACTAAATTAAGGCTGATAGTAACTTCGATTTTGCGTGAATGAAAAAAAAAAATTAGTCATGAATTCACGATTAATCTGAAGTCATATGCTGGTTATGTTTTGCCCATCGCCCCATCCCATATCCTACACAAGTCCACCCATGTTGTGCATCAATACTCATGTCATTCACTCCCTCGCAATTTCCATCTCGCTACAGTCACTCTCCTTCACTAACTTCACATGCAACCACCCATTCACGTCACAGTCCCTCATTCACCTTCCACTCGGGCCACTCATTCACGATTCACCCCCACTCGGGCCACTCGCTGATGCAGCTCATTTCACAGGAGTGGGTAGCGGTAGCGCAGCAGCAGCGGGCAGCAGTAAACAGCTGTCCCTGTCCCCACATCTGCTGCCTCCTCCCCTGCCTTCTTCCTCAAGCACGTCGTCACTCCCCGGCAATCCCCAGCCGCCCCATTCCAAGGTGAGGAATGCCATGGGAATCTCCTCTGGATTGCAGTGAACGCTATTCCCGATCCTGGAATTAGGCGCGCGGTGTCCTGGAAAGGCGCCACCGTGTTGGTAGAGTGGCGCCGATAAGCCGCCGGTAGCCCATCCAAATCTTGCTCTCCACTTCTTCACAATTCCGGCCAATAAAATTTTGTTTACAGGAATTTGTAAATCCCTTCTCGCTCTGAAGGTTGGATGTTGATGAATGATCCTCGCATGATGAATGATCCTCTCTTGTCCCATTTAAAAGTTACAATTATTAGATAACATATAGACTTTTTGGTCTATCTCACTTGATGAAACCTTGCTAGTTCTAATTTGATGCTTCCATAATTCAGTTACGATGCAAGCCCTGTCCAATATGGATGTATCTTTCATCCTTATTTTAAAAACAAAACGTCCTCCCTCTGACCATGAGCTTAAGGCATATTCTTATTCTAGAGTAATCTTATTTTTGCTTGATTTTTTGACTAGTCTTGTTTAGTGACTCCATTTTTCACAATATCAGCTTGAAATTTGTTCTTTGAAATTTTGTACTCTCTTCTTATCAGTCATTGGTGCAGTAGATGATTGAAATTCTGTACATTTGTTAGCGAGCATTTCTAGCGACTGATGAACTTCAGGCAACGACAAAGAACATTTCACAATAATGCGTGGTTTTTGTAATTATGAAGCTTTGTGATGCCTGAGGTTTTGTTGGTTGCAGGTTACCGGCAATGCAAAGAATTTGTTAGACTCTCCCTCAAGTTCATTTTGGAGTCCTATAAGTAGACCAGTAAAGTATCATGGATACCAGCATTAACATACATAAGATATTGGTTTAAATCTTGAGTAAATAATTAAATTGAAAATGAACTGATTCTAAATAATCTCTGGTTTGCCACTATGGACTTGCAGGTTACCGGCAGCGGTGTGGGGATCATCAGCCCCAGCAACATCCCCAGCAGCCTCTCAGCTGGTCTAACTAGTCACGCTAGCCACCTGGCCAACAGCCACTCTAGCCTGCTAGCCATCAGCCACGCCAGCCATCTCTCGAACAGCCACTCAAGCCACTTGGCAAGCGGTCTCTCCAGCCACTTATCCAGCAGCCATGCAAGCCTCTTATCCAACAGCCACTCGAGCCTCTTATCCAACAGCCCCTCGAGTCTGTTATCCAATAGCCACTACCCCAGCAGCCACCTAGTCAGCCTCTCAGGTCCTCCCCTACACCTTCATCCCCACAGTTCCTCCCCCAATTCCCCCTGCCTCAACTCCTCCTCCACCTTCACCACCAACAGCTCCTCGTATCGCTCCACTGCGCCTCCCCTCTCTCTGGGAACCCCAATCCTCACCACAAGCGTCCCGGGACGCCCGCTGTCACCCGTGGGGAGGGACGCCACGTATCACCACGCCCTGGGGACGACGGGGACGGGCAGTTCATCGTCGGCGTCGTCATTTGCTGCCGCCCTCAGGACCTTAGCCAAGCACGCCACGTCGCCACTCGGTGAGTGGGTGGGAGTGGCACCCCCATTGATCTATATAGGATCTCTCCATGATACTTTATTAATACGAGTCTTATCTCTATAATACTTCAATAATCTATAATAGTTTGTTTACCTTAGCCTTGCAAAATTATTATAATTTGTCTTATCAGAGTTACGACATGGCTTGACATGATTAAAACATGGCTTGACATGATGACTCATGATGTTCTGTTTACATGCAGTGGGCGATAAAGATGGCGGCGGAGGTGGCCGCTCAACTAGCGGGGAAGGCCACTCCTCCACGCAGAGATCTTCCCCTAAACACATCCCCAGCTCGTCCTCCCAGTCCTCTACAGTGAGCATAGCCCCAACACACGCTCTTCCCCTCATCTCAGACCCCCGCAAGAGCCTGGACAGCCTCAGTGGGGAGATGGCTTTGGTGACATCAGAGGCTCTTCGCGCCTCATCGCTTGGGGAAGACCTCTTGGTCCGGGGATTCCAGCCATACAGAGCCCCTGATCTCACTCCCACTTCTGTGGGGGGAGCTCAAGCTTCCCTCAGACCTCCCCTCGCGCTGGACCTGCAGTCGACCTATTCTCCATACCATCCCTCCCTCTACCCCATGTCCCTCTCACATCCGGGATACAGGTTAGTGTTGCCACATATGCCTTCTCTCTTACTTTACTCTCTAACTCTTTCAACTTAACCTCTAAACCTTTTAATAACCCTCTAACTTAATCTCCAACTTTATAAACTTACTCTCTAGGCCTCTCGTGGTATACTTTGCCTGTACTCTTGGTGCTAATGATAGGTGATGTACAGCTTTATATCTACATTTTTTAAAATAATTTATCTTCAAATTTATTTTTGAATTTTGTTTCATTTTTTAGGAGATAAAACCTATAACTCTTGACCTACGCAGACTGCAGTAACAGGCTGTTCTGCAGTGGTAATGTCATGTAATAAGTGTACAAATGTCATGTAATAAGTGTACGAATGTCATGTAATGAGTGTACGAATGTCATGTAATGAGTGTACGAATGTCATGTAATAAGTGTACGAATGTCATGTAATGAGTGTACGAATGTCATACAATAAGTGTACAAATGTCATGTAATAAGTGTACGAATGTCATGTAATGAGTGTACGAATGTCATGTAATGAGTGTACGAATGTCATGTAATAAGTGTACGAATGTCATGTAATGAGTGTACGAATGTCATGTAATGAGTGTACGACATGTAATGAATGTGTAATGTAATTTTCGTGTTGTATCATATTTACGTGTATCATGTTCTTATTTCCGCCAAAATTTCAGTATTCAATGCTTCCTATAACTTGAAAATGAATGATGTCACATTCGAAACGTCGTTAATAAATTAAATTACTTCCTTGAACCTGAATTTTCATCAACCAACGTCCACTGAAGAATATTGTTCGATCCTGAAAATTTCAATCAATGATTTCTCAGGTCATTAACCACTCGTGTTTAAACAAGCTTATTCTGCTATCTTATAGTAATGACATGTAATGAGTGTACGTATGTCATGTAATGAGTGTACGTATGTCATGTAATGAGTGTACGAATGTCATGTAATAAGTGTACGAATGTCATGTAATGAGTGTACGAATGTCATGTAATAAGTGTACGAATGTCATGTAATAAGTGTACGAATGTCATGTAATGAGTGTACGAATGTCATGTAATAAGTGTACAAATGTCATGTAATAAGTGTACGAATGTCATGTAATGAGTGTACGAATGTCATGTAATGAGTGTACGAATGTCATGTAATAAGTGTACGAATGCCATGTAATGAGTGTACGAATGTCATGTAATGAGTGTACGACATGTAATGAATGTGTAATGTAATTTTCGTGTTGTATCATATTTACGTGTATCATGTTCTTATTTCCGCCAAAATTTCAGTATTCAATGCTTCCTATAACTTGAAAATGAATGATGTCACATTCGAAACGTCGTTAATAAATTAAATTACTTCTTAGTTCAGAGATTTAAGAGAAGAGTACAATCAAACATTAAACCTCTAGATTTGCAATCTAAAGGAGATACGAACTGCTATCGTTATTAAGATATGGTTTCCGTTTAATAATATGCTGCGATTCCAAAAACCTAAATTCCGAACCGAGTATCATCGTCTGGGCAGGAATAACATCCTTATATGTGCTGTTCTATGGTTAATGAATACAGTTGTGCGTGGTATGCTACAGTTGTGGCACGTCGCAATGCCGTCACGTAACTCCTACATCTCTGGGCCCATACTTTCAAAAAAAGTTAAGAGATCGTATGTTTATCAGCCAATCATTGAAGGCCTTTCAAGCCAAGTCCATCAATCATGGACAAGAAAATAGAGCATAAGTTTTTACGTTCACTTAGCGAGTTTTGAAAGTATGACCCCTGTTTCCGAACTCCACGGCAGGAGCTTTCGTTCGCATCTGCCACTCTCTAATCCTCCTCACTCTGCTGTGCGCCTTTCTGTAAAACATTCCTACGTCACTGTGTCTGAGAGCCATTTTGGGTATCAAATTTTTTGGAATCGCTGCCTTTTTTAAAGCAGAAATTTAATCTTAGTGGCGCGTTAAAGGCTCTTACAGCGTCAATTTCTAAATCGTTAGACTTTTATGTTCTGTTGTCGTTACTTAGGATTTAATCTCGTTTGTTAATATATGTTTTGATTTTTGCCACTGATTTTGATTCTATTTGGTGGTTTGATAAATTCTTGACCAACTTGTAATTTGAGCAGACTACTGATAGGAGTCCCAAAATTTATACAGTTCGTCATATTTAATTAGGAGAAAAGAGTTATTTTGAAAGAAGTTTCCTTGTTGTAAGGCGTATATATTGTATTAATTCATGGTATTTTGTATTATTTTTATGTTGTTTGGCATGCAGATTAAAGCTGGAGGAGGACATGCGGCAGAGAGAATACGAACTGGAGTTGCGGAGAGAGAGAGAATTGGAGAGAGAACGAGAGAAGGAAAGAGAGAGAGACAAGGAAAGAGAACGAGACCGGGAGAGGAGCAGAGAGCGAGAAGAAAAGAGGGAACGAGGGAGGGAGAGGGAACGAGAAAGAGAGCATGAAAAAGAGAGGCACAAACAACATGAAGGTAAGCCCTTAGATTTGATTTATTTTAAATCAATTCTAGTTATGATTTCATCTCATTTTAGCGTTATCGTAGGAAGTAATGTAATGTGCAGATTGCTCATTGCATTTGACTGATCCATCTTCACCGAGTGATCTGCGAGTTACATTGTTGCATGCGAGTTGACTTCATTGCTTTTAGAATCTCCTAAATGTTCCTCAACACGTCTACAACAAGAGATTATAAGCAAACAAAACGCTAAGTTCACTATAACTTAATTAAACACGCTTCTGAGTCCAGTTCCATCATTAATTCAGATATTTAAGGAAATACAAGTACAATCAAACATGGTGTTCGATCTATGGTGTGCGAACTATGGTGTGCGATCCACTTACCCCGACTCTCCGCCCAAACTAATCTTCCCGTACCTAATCTAACCTGCGGGGTGAGTGAGTTTAACGAGGCTGAAGTATGCGCGTGACGTGCGCCTAGATTTGCACGCGTCCAGTAATATGTTGATCAATGTTCTTTGATTTGCATTTAGTAAATTAAGTCCTTGTATTTTCTCAGATCGGGCAAAGGCTTCAGATCGGCATCTCAGAGATCGCAGCCCCCTTTCCAGCCCCCACACTCAAGCCCACTCGAATAATTCACATTCATCCCACGCCATCCCCTCGAGTGGAGCCCTCACTTCGAATGGCCCTCACCCACTACTGACGACCACCGCCCCATACACCCTCGGGGACCAAGCCCTCCCCGTGTCCGGGGCTAACACCCACGACCTCACGGGAAAATCCGACAGTCTTGTTCAAAACCCCTTGCCTAACAATAGCAATATTAATGGTCCGAGTGCCGTTCCTAACGTGTCTTCTACAAGAGCACTGCCGACCGTGGGAGTAAACACCAATGGCACCTTCCTCCCCAGTACGGACGCCGGGGGAAGGAATTTAGATGCCGTGTCTGTCAGCACGAGAAGTGTAGATGCTGCGTCTCTGGCAACTCGTACTGCAGACTCTAGTGCAATAAAAAGCCGCGCTGCAGACTCTAGCAGTCTTTGTAACAAAACCTTAGATCTCTCTACGACTGGATCCCAAATATTGCCTAGCAGTCGTGTTAGAAGCTCGTCCACACCAACTGTTGTCTCAACCATCGTCGGGGGAAGTTTAGCTCCAGTCTTGAGCAGTTCTCCTAGTCTGTGTGGTTCTTTGGTACCTGGTGTCAATAGTGTAGTCGTTGCAGACCAGCTAAATGGGCCGTCTGGTCTGATGGAGGAGAGGAACGCTCACGTCAGCGTTTCTGAATCTCCGTTGCTGTTGAGCCAGAATTTACCAGAAGGTAAGTTTTTTGTCTTTTTAGCGTCACGCTAGCACTTAGTAGTTTCATGCTGAGTATTGCTAGTTGAAGAGATCGGCTAGGTCTATTGAAAAATTATTGGCTTCATCCAGAATAGTATACAATATATTTAAGTTCGTACAAACGTATATATGTTATAGAGTGATATAGTTTCTATATTTCACTAAATTATTAGTTATTTAACTAAAAATTTAAAAGCAAAGAATAGTCCACAAAAATTCATATCTTTATAGAAAACGTTTCGGAGTCCAGCTCCATCGTCAGTGGAGCTGGAGCTACGAACTGGCGATGGAGCTGGACTCCGAAACGTTTTCTATAAAGATATGAATTTTTGTGGACTATTCTTCGCTTTTAAAATTTTAGTCAACTTGCGATCTAAGCAAATAAGTGACATTAATATTAGTTATTTGTTGTGTGAATTTCATGCAATGCAGTATTAGTGAAACATTTTCTTCAAGACCGACTGGTTTTGTTGAAGGTCCTGCGCAGTCCGTAATGGGTGTGCTGCCTGCACTTGGGGGGGTGAACGGACTGAAGCTCGCCGGGGGCCTCACCCAAGCACCTAACACAGAAGGAAACCACGTCAGCACCAACATATTGCACCAAAAAAAAGTTCCATCAGGCACCACTTCACCGCCTGCCGCGGTTGTATCGAACGCTGCACGGTCTCTCCCCGCAGCTGTTTTCCTCCCAGCTGCTGCGCAATCCATGCCCTACAGTAGCCAGCCTTCTTCTCAACCCCAAACTTGTGCCGACACTGCCGCTTCATTCGACCCTCAGTTACTCCCGACAAGTTCTGTGCCCTTATCTCTCTCTTCACAGCTCGTGGTGGCTCCCCACCAAATCCCTCCGTCAACATCCCCATCTAGACTTGCATCAGGAGCCACAGTCCCTTCGGGTACGAAGCTTCCATACCCTCATTCCCTACCTTCATCGCTAAGTTCTCAGTCTAAGGGATCCGTATTACCACCCACGCCAGCCACAAGCTTATCCCTGGTCCCCTCCACAACCACCCTCGGCGTCCCCTATACCCCGCCTGGGGCCCTTCAACCGCTCCCTCTTTCCACGCCGGACGCAGGGCAGATGAAGACTGAAATTTTGACTGCCACATCGCAATCTTTACTTTACACTGACCACTCCTTGCCACTCACGACTCACTCTTTACCACTGGGGTCTCAGACGCTGTCTCTCACCACTCTCCCATTGTCATTCTCCTCCCAGGCCCTCTCGTACACCACTTCTGCAGTCCCAGCACCTGCGCGAGTAACAGCAAACCCTACGAGTAACAACACGACCATTTCTACTCATGTTATATCTCTACCTTCTCAACCACTCCCATTCGCTACTCAAACCCCACCACTCTCCTCTCAAGCCCTGTCACTCATCTCTCAAGCATTACCTCACACAAATTACGCATTGCCTATCACCACTCAGCCGTTGCCTAACACCACTCAGCCTTTAGCCTTCACCACCTTAGCTCTCTCTTTCACCACTCAATCATTCTCAGCCCAACCGTCGTCTGTTGCTGACCGCGTAGGCATCCCAATTTCTTCGGTCGCCGAGCGGTTGGGCGCATCTGCTCTTCCTGTGGTGACTGCAACGCACAGTGTGTTGGGTTCATCTCGATATTCTCAAGTCGGTGGTACCACATCAACTATACCATTGATACCTACATCACAAGGGCTCACGAGTACAACCAAGTATCCTGTAGCCTCTGGTAGTGCAATTTCACTGCTGTCTAACCCCACAGTGTCAGGGTCTATCGTCGGTAAGTCCACGCCTTTACTCACGTCAGGTCACATGGTTTGTAACACCAGTTCATTTGAGGGTTCGGGCAACTTGTCAGGTATCCCTGCCACGTCAATCATATGCACTAGTTCCATGGGAGGTATTCCTGCTACAAACATCACCTGCGGTTCTTCTGGAATGACGGGGACCTCATTTCCCGGAAAGGCCATCACGCCGGCGAACTGCTCTTCAAATCTCGTGGCCACTTCTGTTAACGTGACCACGCCCAATGCAGGCGTTCCACCTATAGCAGTTTCTTTGCTTACTTCTTCGACCCCAAGTACTTGTATCCCATTGGACCCATCAACTGTGATGTCGCTTGGCGGGCCTGCAGGGCACATCTACGCCAGTGTGAACACCTCCAAAGACAGCAGCGAGCACGCCATCACGGGACGTGAACCGCGTAGCACAATTGGTAACGGGCCCTGTATTAATTCAGCTTCGTCTAGCACTTACCCTTCGGTTTTAGGTGCGATGTACCACACGAATAACCTCCCTTCTGGACAAACCGTTGGTGTGACAACGGCCCCGAAACTGGCCACATCTCTCATAGTCAGGCCGTTTGAAGTGTCACCTCCAGGACGGACTCAAACTTGCCTTCCGACTGCTGTGTCATTGGCTAACTCAATCAATGCCGCACTGAGCACGAGCAACCCAATTATCGGTGGCTTGACCTCTGCTTCTCTACCTTCCTGTACGCCGGACCAAGTTTTCCTTAACAAGAACTCTGTCTCTGTGAAGATTGAACCTGGCGTTGATGAGCACAAGAATGAAGTAGTTTTCAATCATTCAGGAGTAGCGCAATCGCGTGCCTCTATTCCTGTGGAGACAAGCAGGACGTTGTCAGGAAGCGGTAAATCAATCGTTACATCAGTGTGGTCAACCCCCCTGCCCGGTGTTGTGCAGTGCAAGATAGAGCCTATGCAAGTCGACTTCCCAACTCAACACAGTACTTTCTCTTATCCCCCTATGGGGTTGAATTTACAGGGACAATTCTCCGATGTCTCTTCAGCATTAACGGTTTCTTCGGAGCAAAAACTTCTCGTGCCAAAGTCGGAACCCAATTTGTCGTTTTATGTAAGCAACCTTGTTTCATCCGTCGCTTCTTCTCCCGCTGGTTCTGTACATAGTCAGCTAGTGGGCGATAAACCTGTCGATGTTTCAAGCAATGTTCTCATCAAGGCAGGAATGGCCGTGTTGCATCCGGCTAACAAGGACACCAACTTACCTCCATCATCAGCAGTCAACACGATAGGCTTACAGTATCCTCTCATACCCTCCACTGTTGCCAACAATGGCATGATCGTATCTTCAGTAACTGGTATCCCAAATTCAGCAGATTTTCCGAAATCGTCTAGTAAAATCGTCGCGACAAGTTTGCCTGTGACTTTTGCTTCGTGTAGTTCGGCTTCAGTTGACACACCTGACTTTGTGCCTGTGTTCTATCCTCAGTCATACGCCATGGCAGCTTCTATTCCGCCTGCAGTATCGACTGCTTGTGCTGTCACAAACTTCCCTCCAACAACGGGCCCGAGTAACCTGACTGAATTGAATCTAGCTGGCTGTGCTGCCGACAAGCAGAATTTCCTAGCAAACTTTAACTCATCTGCAGCGGTGACTTCTATCGGGGCACTTGGTTTTTCAGGAAGTAATGGAGATGTTCCTTCAAACTCCTTACTGCTTACCGATAGCGGTCTCCTTCCGTCATCTCTGATTGCCGTGTCTTCGGGCATTAGCTCTCAACACAAAATGATTTATTCTGCTCCAATGTTTTCCTCCTTACTTTCTGGTGGCCTCCCGATATCGGTGAACTCGGCTGTTACAAACCAAGCGTTGGTAGTTGAATCGGCCGGTGAGTCAATCGTCCCAAGCTCCTGCCCTCCCTCGGCAGGTATGACTACCGGACAGCGCATACCTTTCGATGCGTCGAACATTTCCAAGTCAGTGATGGCAGTGTCCAATGTAGCAACATCTTTAACGCACAGTGCGGGGGCATCGACAGTATCCTTGAAACTTCCTTTCAACAGCGGAAGCAATTTCTCGCTGCCATCCGTGACCGCAGCGTCCACATACGTGCACATTATTCCTCCACGCGTGGCCACTCCTGAGATGCCTAGGTCCCCCGTCAGTCTTTTGGACCTGCGCGCGAAACAGGAAGCTGATCAGAAGGTGCAGGAGCGTCTGGAGTGTAAGAAGCAGGAGGCGCAGTGCAAGAAGCTGCGTGAGGCGCTCAAGACGTTGGAAGAAGCCCATTTAGAACAGCAGCAGCACGCGCTACAGGAAAGCATCATAAAGGAAGAAGCCAATATCAAGAGGGAAATTAAATCTGAAGTTCCGCGATCTAGAAAAGAAGAAATCAGGATTCGGAAAGAGGAGGAGAAAGCTGCAAGAGAAGAGGCGAGGAATCGCAAAGAAGAAGCCCGGCAGAAAAGAGAAGAGGGAATGAGAGTAATTCGCTCAGAGCTGAAGAGAAAGCTACTGGAGGAGCGGCAAGGCAGCATCACCAAGAAGAGAGTCACTCTCTTGCATAAAGGCCTGCCGGCTCCGCTAGACTTGCCGGAAGAGGTAGGTCCAATTATGAGTAGTATCTGCATTCATCACTCCTGGTGATTTATATATATGCGTTCAATTATACACAACAGAATTCTGTTTCTTCTTATTCTGATGATGATGAACATTTATTTTTTTTTCTTCTAATAACAGAAAATTGCCATCTTCAAATGCGTGGGTTTGGTGACCCACGATGCTGCCGGTGAAGTGCTCTACAGTAACTGCGAACGTCGCGTACGACAACTGCATCCCCTCCTCTCCCCTCCTGCTTGTCCCTCCCCCGCCCTCAAGATCTCAGACTCGGGCGAGCAGCTCGCTCTTGCCATAGCGCCCTCTGCTAGTAAGGGCTTCATCAACCCGAAGTTGCTTGAAACGCAACAAGACCTCAACAAGAACGCCTTCCTCCACGACATCGGGCTCAAGAAGCAACACCCCATCGACGCTCAGAGTGAGTCAATTAATTTTTTGTAAGGCAATAATGCTCTCATAGTCGTTTTCTAAGACTTGCGTTGTGGTCATCATCAAGTCTGAATCGAAGCCATAAGATTTTCTGTCCATGATTTCACAGCATGAGACTCTAAAATCTCGGGGCTGCCTTTTACTTCTCTTGGTTATACCTTGGCTGAATAACTGGTCGTTTCTAGGAGGCAGACGAATAAAAAATTTCTATGGCTGAAGTAAATATGAATGAATTCTGAACAATTATATTGATTTGCCTACATGTTCTAAAAATTCGAATATTTTGCAAAGCGCTAAGTGCGGAGTACATATTTTATCCACGTTTGTGCACAGAACATTATATTTTATCCACGTTTGTGTACAGTACATGATATTTTATCCACGTTTGTGCAGAGTACATAATATTTTATCACCGTTTCCTTCACCAGATCTGGAGTTCCAGTACCAAATGGCCTTAGAGGAGCGATTGCGGCGCTACTCCAACAGTGCGCTGCAGGACAGCATGACGAGTACAGTGTGTGCTGCGTTGCTCGCGCGTCTGCGAGAGCGCGAAACCCAAGTTTCTATCGAAGCTAGTCACATCTTCAGCGTAGCTGAAGCATCAAACTGGCAGCCAGAAAACTTGGGGACTTTGAAAGCAAGCAACTCATCGCGTTGCGCTGCCAACGGCCCCACCCTTCAAGTTCCTGTGTCTGGAAATTTGGTCGTCGCCAATTCTGAAAAGATATCTGAGCGACAATTGTTGTTTGGCACGGTACATGGTCGTGCGCCATTGCAGCCAATCCTTCAGTCTAATAATCTCGCTAATAACTCCAAGCACGGCTCCTTGTTAGACTCTAAAAACTCAGGAGTCCTCTTTCAAAATTCTGAAATCCTCTTGTCAAAAATAGCACTGATGCCACCTCAGCAACAACTGCAAGTTCAAATGCAGCTGCTCAGTCAACAACAACATTTGACTGGAGCCGCTCGCGAGCTACTCATGGCTCAGCTGTCCTCCATTGCTACTTCTGTTTCGGACTCTGTTTCAATTCAGCACATTGCAAATATACCGGCAAAGAACACTTTACCACTGCCAATCTTACACACGCCATCCTCGTTCGCGGAAATTTCCCGCGTAGACGGCAGACCGATTCAATTGAATGTTGAACAAGGCTTCGCGTCAGGTCAAACTTCAGAGAACGGCTCCGGCCCAGGCTCGTTCCCTGCCTCCCCAGGCAAATCTACCACGACCAGCGCGTCAACTTTGGTAATTCCTCAGCCCCTTCCTCCCGCGGGGACCGCTTTGCCTGGTAACTTCCCTGGCCACGCTGAGACGGTCAAAGTTGAAGTGCCCTGCAGCTTCTTGAACGGTCAACTCCCAACTGCTGGCGTGAGCGTCAGTCTCTCGTCTCCCGGTAATATTGCCGGCACAAATAACATGGGCAGCGTTGAAGTGGTCGGTATCAACGGTACCGTGCTGCCGCATGGCTTGGTTGCTCCCCAACCAGCTGTACACCATGTGAGTAATGGGAAAATGCTTTCTGAATGAATTCAGTTATTTACATTTGTTGAGATTTTTAACATACATCCCGTGTGTTGATTTAAATGTGTTGTTATATTCTAAAATGATATTGATAAGCTAACATGATTTCAATTTGCGATTTTTTGGGTTATATTCATTTTCATACATGCTCATGGAAACTCGTTTGTTGGATAGAAATATAACGATTTATTACTGCTGTATTAATAAATCGTCATTCATCTTGAGATCAAGGAACACGATTTAAATTCTCTTTATATGAATTCGATTAACTTTTGAAACCATTGCTGATTGACTGACGAGGGTAATATCCTCAGGCTGGTCAGGAGGACGTGTTGCTGCTGCCGCCCCCCGAAGCTGACGCGTCTCTGGCTGGCCTGCACGGTCTCGACAAGGTCATCGAGCAGTTCTTGGCTGCCGCTGCTCTTGGTGGGTGCCCACCCCACATCCCCGCATTGTAAAATTTAATTTCGTTTTATAAATATTTGCCCGGCATTGTACTATGACGCGCATAAATAAATTTCTTGAAGAAATTTTGCTATAAGCTTCTCTTACTATGTTAGCTATTGGTTTCAACTTTGAATATCCATGTTTCCAGCCCCAATTAAATTTATTTGTTCGATTCATTGTTCATTATTTACAGATACGGCATCGCCAGAGAAATTTGGTATTTTAAATAACGTTTAAAACTTGATGAGTACGCTATTCGTAATGCATTCGTTTATTTCATATCAATGAACAGTCTAATATGATGAAATTGGTGCACGATGCTTCGAACTGGCCATGTTGGTTTGATTTGTTGATTGTATGTCTGAATGACAGGAGCGGCGAGCAATGCTGTACTGGCAAGCCACGTCGCCGGTGTACGAAGATGCCAAGCCGCGGTCATCAGCACAGCTCAGCTGGTGCAGGAGCAGGTACAACAGCTTGTGCAGACACGTCAACAGTTGGACGCTCATCGTCTCACTCTGCACCAACATCTGCAGGCAATCACCGCCCTTTTTTCCACTGAAGCTAACAAGTCTAACGACGGTGCTGGCTTAGAGGTACTGCCGAGTCGTGACGATAAGCCTCAACGAGCTGTTGTAAACTTCGCGGCTTCTAATCCATGCCCACCTGTGTCGAGTGGGCAGCAGGAAAGTGTACCTAATGTGAGCATGGCCCTCGCAAGTGAGGTCTGTCAGGATGGGCTGAGCAATGCCGAGCAAGTGGCTCGTGTCGGCAATGGAGTGCAGAGTAACGGTGTAGGAACGAAGCTCTGCAGTGCAGGTCGACAATCCCATGCTATACCATCATTCTACGACAACGGTTCCCCCATCCGGCCTGGGGCTCTATGCAGCAACATTTCTGTGTCGGTTGCGGTGACTAGTGCAGCAGGGAAAGCTATTAACGACGTCGGGAGGAATTTGATGGTTGTGAGCAAGCCCGTGACCAGCTTACCTACTTCGTCATCCACATTCGCACTGTCTCAAATTCCGACGGTTCCTGGGATCCCATGTACCGTAGTCGATGGTTTCAGCTTCAAGACTGGCAAAGACTCAGAAATTTTAACAGATTTTGTGACGGGCCCAAACGAGAATGTTTCATATATTGACGCAAATGGAAAACTGGTGCTTAACAGGTTGAATAATGTCCATGTTCAGTCTGCTGTTAACTCTCCTGTTAACCTCGATAAAACTATGTTTGCGATTTCTCGTCCTGTTAGTCCCTCCCCCGTTATCGGTGGTTCTCTGTACCCACATGCGCTCAATCTTACTCACAATTCAATACCTTCAACGTCCCATGCTGCGAATGCAACACATGGAGACAAACTTACGGACTTTTCCAAGCAAGGTATCAACTCGTCTGCGTATTCGTTGCAATGCAAAGACGTCCCACAGACGACAGTTATTTGTAGGGGAAAACAAATGATCATCGGAAACGGTTTGACTCCATCTTCGACAACCATTGAGGAATCCAAAGGTCTTGGCAATATTTTAACGCCTGCGAATGCCGCGAACACCACATTGACCGTACCAATAAATTCACAAGGAAGTAACGCTAGATCTGCTGAAATTGCCAATCTCGATTTGAGTTCACCTGCCAAGCGTCCCTGCCTGAGTTTCGATGCTGTGAACTTGATCAACGGGGCCAAGACTGGCGATCAACTGCGGCCTGTAGTCACGGCCTATCCCGGAGCTCTCAATAACACAGGCCTTAAATTAAACTCTTCCATGGTTACCGTGACTCTGCCCGCATCCGTCACCGAGGGTTCGGTTGCGAGTCCAGTGCCTTACCAGCCTCAGCCGCCGTCACTCCCTGGCAGCGCAGTGTTGCCTCTGAATATCGACCTCACATCACCGGTGCCTGCTCGCTCTTCGCCAGTCAACCCTCCTCTTTCGATGTCATCGCAGTCTTCTCGGTCAACTACTGCTTCTGGAACACCTCCATTTATTTCCACTACGCCTACGTCAGTAAACTCAATCACTATGCAGACCACTCTCTACAATTCTACTTTAACTAAAAATAACTTCAGCCAATCATCTTCAACGACTCCCCGAAAGAATTATACCTCTAACCAAATGACCCACAATTCGAATGTTCATTTGAATCACACTGCTACTGCACATCCGCAAAGCTTGTCCGTTGAAGCATCCGCAAAAATCATTGCAAATTCCAATTCAGGATTGCCCAGTCCATTCGCCATCGATCAAGTAATGCGAAGTTCCCCCAAACCATCGACCAATGCTCCGACCGCACTGAGTGCGAGTAGTAAGAATCAGTTTACTGGAAACTCGAGTGTCATTGTCAGTGTAAATACCACAGTGTTTGGTTCAACGTTAAATTTATCATCGAACTCTCCAACTTTACGGTCCGAAATCCAAGCTGAGTCAAATGAACCCATTTCTTCCAGTGGCTCTTGGTCCAAGAATCAGTTCGTCATCACGACGCCTGCAGATTTACCTAAACCTTATTTCGCTCCTCACCAAATCGTGTCGGGTGCCAAGGACCTATCGTCCCATAAGCCTGAAAATCTTGCTCAGAAGGGCGTATCAGGCCGTGCTGTTCATGGCATATCCTCGGCTAAGCCTACCAATTCGAAAGATAGCTACAACACGTTGCATGGGAAACGCTCATCTAATTCTGCAACGTCTGCTTCTGTACAAGCTAGATCCATACAAGCGGGAAATGCAGCGTCAACTGCAGCAACTCCTCTGCCCACATCCACCGCATCTGTTATATTGCAGCCTTCATCGTCTACGGTGTATGGCAAAAAAATGTATCAATCACCTCATAAAATGAATGGCATGGGAGGAGTGAGCACTTCCGGGTCCAAGCACATGGGGGGAGGTGGCATCAGCTCCCAGGGTTATAAAGCGAACGCTAAAGGCGTCCTCGGCCCTGGTCAAACTCAAGTCCGAGCAGCAAACCACGTTAGTCAATCCAAGCATCACAAGCGTCCTGATCAGAGAAGTCCTGCAAGCTTGAGCTCTGTATCTATTGGGCCTCACATACCGAGCTCTGTACCTGCTGGATCTCACATGACAACCTCCGTACCTACTGGTCCTCACATACCGAGCTCAGTACCTGCTGGATCTCACATGCCGAGCTCAGCTCAGAAACACGGCCAGTACAGGAGCGTTCAGCACAACAGTAAAGCTGATCACGGGTCCCTTGTTAAGTCTAATAAAGCAAACCATAACAAAAGTGGCGTCGCCTTCACTCCGTACACTTCGAGCAAGTCTCCGGCGTCGAAGGTTCAGCCCTGGTTACCTCACACTTAAAATGCACACGAATAGTTTTATTTTTGAGGCGTTTCCTGGGAGCTTCTCTCAATTGATGAAGTTTATTTGTTTTGTTTTTTTTTTCGGCTGCAGTAAATTCATGCAGGAAAATGTAGTAATTATAACAAAAATTATGTACCCCTTCATGGCAAGTGTTTGGTTCCACAACACTCCTGAAGAGTAAACTCTAGTCTCTTACAAATAACAATTCACAATCCATTCTCAGACGAACTTGACAGTAGTGCATTATGCAGACTCAAATTTGAGGACTTAACCGTAAGATGAATGCCATGACTTCGATTTTTCTAGCCTTTGTTGATGTTAAAGACAAGAACCACGTGATGGCCCCTTTGTACATATGCTCCCCTGAAGTATACCTGTACTCGACATTCACGAAGTCTATCAGTAAAAAGACATGCAAAAATGGCTTCTCGTGAATACTTGTGTGATATTTAGACCTTAGGAACATGAGTACGATGAGCTTGTGTTGCAAATACAATATCTGATGCGCAGATTATAGTGAAAGTTTCGATATCGTGAAATAGGGTAAGGAAGACATGTTACCTTCATGTAACTGCCTCTGGCTCATGAACGTCGATGACATGATCCCTCTTAGATACGAGATGTACATGTGTTATTAGCTGTCTTTGGGTAAACATGACGGCGTGATCATAGCGTGCTTTAGAGTGAAGCAGCCTTCATGCTGATGCGTGAGTAGCGTCTGCGAAATGATACCTAAAATTACCGTCAATATTAGACTCCAGTTTCTGTGTTGCTACAATTTTCTGCGGTAAATGTATCATTAAGCCATGCAGGCTCCACGCACTGAACTTCAGTCAACCACATTGACATTATGCGTAGTGTTTTAATAACAGAAATTAACGATGTAGACGTTTTGCCGTATAATTATTACCTACGTGTAGATTGAACATATTTATACGTTAGACGTCGTGTCTATTGAGAGCTTTATTACTATTGAGTTAGCGTTCGATGGAAGTGAGTGTTGCTGGCCATCTTGAGCTTGCGTCGTACATTCATTGTGGTGTAATATTTTATTCTAAGAAAACATTTCGCATTCTGTAGAAGAAACCTCCTTTTATGCAGTGATGATCTCCCTAACACATGATTACGTCGACTAGAAGATAGTAGGTGAAGAGTGATTAGAAAGCCCGTGCAACTATAATAGTACGGCTCCAACATTTCCCTCGTAGGACCTATAGACCAATCGTGGATTTTATCATTTTCGTCTACTATGTATTTGCGTACATTCTCCAAATTGTGATAGGAACCTTCATAATTCTGAAACCTCAAAAAGCACGTTGTTTGTACCTCAGTACGGCTGCCGGCATCACGTACGAAAAAGCTTAATTGGATTTTCCTGAGAAATTATACCTTCCGATTGAAATTTTAACGTAGCTCTAATGGATCTTAGTAACAACAAATTCAGTGTCTGATAGTTTTAACGCTAAATTTTAATAAATAACCTGAAAAGACTGTCGTTATTTTGGTATGCCACTCAGCCGAACAGGCACATAGACGTGTGTGGGCGTTAGGCCGAGTGGAAGCTTGGCCGTGTGGGCGTTAGGCCGAGTGGAAGCTTGCTTCTGCAGGTGCCTGGCCGTGTTTGCAAGACGAGGTCGGATGTGCAATTTGTTTTACCGACCGCTTTTTCTGAGCTGATGCTGATAAGAGTTGCGTTTCCCTATTACTGACTTGAACTTCATCTGTTATGTTCCGATATGTTATGGTATGTTCCGAATGAAGTCACGATCTCATTAGACTTTAGCTAACACATTCGCCAGAATTTCTGTCAATTGATGCGATTTCATTTACACATGGATCCCAAGGGCTCTTGTTGAATTTATTATTTGTATTTTCCAAATATAGTCCGGTATTTACGTGTGCATATTTATTTATTATTTTCTTATTTATTTATTAAATTTTAGGTAATTATATCCCCGGCATATTCTGTTAATAGGTGAAAAGTATATCTGTACATAAAATTGAGTAAATCTCCCTTCAATAGAACACCAAATATACCGCCTGAACCATTGTCCTTTCTAATTTATCCTGCTGATATTTCCTATTATTCGAGACTTGTTTCCCTATCTAAAAATGCTGCAAGATGATTTGTGTCCGTTTCATATTTGCGTAGCACGCTAAACGCAATATTTTATCAACCTTTGCTCGCATACCGAACTTAGCGCTTTGCGGGCTGCGAAAGACCTTAGCGGGCAAATAAGTTCTCGCACGCTCGCTGTAGCGTATTGACATTGTGTTCTTCTTAATTAATCTTTGTTCTTAATTAATTTAGTCATGACTGGTTTAGATTTGACAAAGGTATGCTTGGAACCGGAGCATTAGTATTGCGTTCCGATAATTCATCCCAAAAGTGTGGAAGCGGCGGTATATAAGCTATTTAATTGAGTTCACCTGCGGGTACGCATGAAAGTTCTATGGAAGTGTGGCATGCGCTGAGGACCTGTCAGGAGCTCAAGACGAAAAACCGCGGAAAAATACTGTACTCGTATCCATAAACTTTTAGTGCTTTGATTTTTAATTTATTCCAATGCATCAAAAAAGATTTTGTATTATATGATGACTGTAAACAAAAATGGGATAAGGCTCGGGACAACTTCTTTATAGACCGTAGTGAAAAATACGTACTTTTGTTTTTCAAGAACGGTTTTGATCGGACGAAGTTATGACTGAAAAACGAGCTGTAAATATTCGTCGCAAAAATTTGTTCCAAAATTGTCCGATCAGCAATTTACTGGATGAAAAGCTACGTTCAAAACATCTCTAGGCAGGCACACAATATCGTGACTTTAATTTTCATTCAATTACAATTCGTTATAACGATGTGGGAGTACAGTATTTGCAATGTTTTATTTGAAAGTTAAGATGTACCTGAACTCCTCTCTTAAAAATGATACCGAAAAATCCAAGTGGAGACTATGAGTATAATATAATCACATATTCATACCTTAGTATATGTGAGTTCCTTCTACAACATAGGCAGTAACTTAATTATATAAAAAATCTATCGCCGCCTTCCGCATTTATGTCCTGGAATGTCAAAAACGGCTAATTTTTACATTTAATATGTTCCAGAGAACCAGCATTATGCATTGATCAATCTTATTTTTATCTGTGGGGAAATTTGGCTTAAATGTATTTTCTTACATGTTTCACGTGTGTTTCTTATTATTGTTCTTCCGGTATGCAGACAGCTGATCGAAGCATAAGCAATTTCATTGGTTGAGAGCCCGAGAATCCTCCAATAAGATGCATGCATAGGAAACTTTTAGGTGGCCCAACACGGAATGAGAGACTGAGCTTCATTGGTTGACATTAGGTAGGTCTCCAACCAATGATATGCGTCAGTGCTCTGCCTGCTTCTGCTGAGGTGAGGAGTACTGATTTCAGTGCGGTAGCATGACGAATACATTTGCCGAGTTCATAAAAATTTTATGGATGAAGCAATCTTTTTAGTCCATTTATTATGTAAAATTTTAGCACTTAATACATTTATAACTATTTTTGATCGATGGAAATATCCTATAACCTAGTTCACAGGTTCATTTGCAAGCCTGACATGACACGCTATGTGTGTCGACAAGTGTTGTCCTCGCGACTTGCAAGAACTACTGTACAGTATAGTAGACGGATTCTGCAGCCTGCAGGAAAGTGAATTATGTGATCAATTATAAAACGAGACTGATGATAATCAGTCCCATTTAATTAGAGTTAGATGAATTAGCATTACAATTAGAGCAGTGAATTTTTATGGTTCTTTGTTAAAATTAGAGTGTCGACTCTCGTGACGTCTCATACACGTTCCTTGTTCGACTTTTAGTTAAAGAGATATAGGTGACCGTTCATTGTCGTACCTAATAGAATACTTTATAGTACTATTATTATCACTACTATATATATATATATTGTACTATAGTAATACTATAGTAGGCATGAGCTATTGATTATATTTCATCATTCTCTTGAATATGTCATTTTTATTTATTGGATATTAGTATCGCTGTAAGACGATATGGTTGAGGAGGCAAAATGGAAAATTGGACAAAATCCACTGGTGAATTGGACAAAAATGCCAGTGCTTCTGTCCAGTTCCATCAATTTCTTTGGCCATTTCCTAATTTTTTTTCAGTTGAGGATAATAATAAAATTTTCAGCTGCAATTTCCAAAAAGCACCTATGAAAAATTAATATTTGAGTATAGTAGTAATAGTACACTTCTGCCAAATGTTCCAAATTGGTTGGGAATGGGGATTGGGCTCATTGGGGGGTGGTGAATACCTACTGAAAGAGACAATTACTGTTTTCTTAACTGCTGTTGAGTTGATTCAATATACTATCAATTGGAAGATTGGAAATTTCAAATTTATGCAAAATACTAAAATTTTATGGAACCAAATTCTAAACTCCATGGTGACATATTTTTCATTAGGTACCTTGTAATCTTGGGGCTGGATCATCATCATGCACCTCTATGTCTAAGCATGATTGGAATATTTCTACTTGATTCCAGGGTGCAGAAAGTAGGTGAATATCTGAAGATTTTTGGTAATGCATCAGCAGCTAAATTGCACCTTTAGAAGATCTTGCCAGCACACTTATCACTTGTCCCATTTAAAATGGTGTGTTATTATTTCAAATTACAAGCCGTCCTGTATGCTCAGATACAGAAGAAATGCTATGTGGCTGCTGATATGAAGCTTGCAGTGGACAAGGTTGTTGTAAAATGTAAATGCTCAATGGCATGTTCATGGATAGGTATGGTAATATCCATCAATAATATGGTAATGTATGGATATGGCAATATCATAGCAATAGAGTAAAAACAAGTAAAAATCACAGAAAATGTCATTAATTCTACATCTATGTCATCAACAAAGGAAGAGGAGGACTTCAGAGTACCGTAAAATGGGGTTACTTAGACCGGCGGGGTAACTTAGACCACTTTTCGTTTTTTTTTTTAACAAAAACCCCCAAAACTCAAAAACTATTTGACATAGAATAATGTTGTCAATGGTCATTAAAGGCCTAATACTGTGGCTACATAACACAATATAAAGATTTAAAAAGTTTGCATATCTAATAGGTTAAAAAATTATCACTTTGCATGCTTCAAACATTTTAAAATCGATTTTTATTTCAAGTTTCCCGGATTACCCCATTCTAGGGGTAATTTGGGACGCATTTATTTGTGTCTGGCACCTTATAAATACCAGATGAAAATTTTTTTGAAATGCCATTTGATAGTACTCACAGAGAGCTTTAAAATGAACCCTAAATTGTTTATGAAATTTTACATGGTACTAAGTTATTAATGAATAATGCTTGAAGCTGTCCCTTATTATCCCGTTTGTTGGTATGAGGGAAAAACTGGAAAATGTTCTTTTTAGAGTCAAAGATACTTGTTCACTTGCCTGCTTAGGGATTAAATTAACTCGGCTTCACTGGTGCACTTAAGCCACTTGAACACAAAATCTGCGAGATTAGTTACCTAGATTTATATTTTTTGCCATTTATGACTCTTATGACACTTTGTATGTAAAAGTTGCCGCTTAAAACATTATCTTGAACTGAATAAAAGGAATTATGACTTGTATAACTCAATCAAAATATAGGGTTTCCTGGCAATTAATATTCATATAAGAGGTAATTTGAGTGAATTAGAGGTTTGAATTTCAGGTAGGTTTATATAATGTCTATAGGATAATTTCAAGATTTCATATTTTTTTTGCATAAGATAAGAAGTTAACAATTTTTGATAGTTGAAAATCAGGATACAGTGGTCTCTAAGAAACTATGTTTTCAATACCACACTTTAGATGGAGACCAAATAGAGTATATAGAGTCAGTGATGATATGTAAAGTAGGAAATAAAAATATTTCTGCATTGTATTCTCTATTCATATGCTAACTATTTGTTCAATTTTCCAGAGTGTTAATTATAATGAAGCAAAACAGTGGATCTAGCAATGGAGTGATAACATTTCGTAAAGTGGTATTTAATTCCACTAGTGACTCCAGTGTTGCTTCTGGAATAGCAAATGGCTCCATGACATATTCTGGGAACATTACAACATCTCAAGCTGTAAATAATGGAGTACTAATGCAGAGTGTTGCTGGAGTTGCTTCGAATGGCTCATTAATGCATTCAGTGAATGGCAGTGGAGCAATCAGTTGTGTCAATTCCAATGTTGTTAATGTTGGAGCCATGTTGGCCAACACCAATAATGGAGTGGTTACCTCAGTTACTGGTAGCTTACCTTCCTTCACTGCTAATGGCATTTCTACCATTGCTTCCAATGGGGTTCTTCAAACCAACTTAGCCAATGGCAATACAATTATTAGAGCCCAAAATGGCAAGATGATCACAACTTCCAATATTGTAGGTGCTGCTCCTGCAACTAATGTCCCAACTATGGGTAAATTGTGCCTTACACAGCAGCAGCTGCAAAAGTTGTTAGAGCAACAGTTACAGCAGCAACCTCAGCTAGGGTCTCAGCCTCAGATCATCAGACTTCAAAATCCTCAACAGCAACTAATTCGACTTCAACAGCAACCACAGCAAGTTCTCAGACTCCAGCAGCCAACACAAACTCAGATCATTCGTATTGCTCCCAACAACAAATTACATCAGGGGCATCAGCTACCTGATGGTAGAATAATTATCAATCAGCCTTTCCAGATAACAGCTCAACAATTGCAGCAACTTCAACAGCGTCAACAAACTCCTATTGCAATACAATCCCTTCAGTTGCAACCACAGCAGCAACAAGTTGTTTTACCTGGCGTTCAGCTTGTGTCAATTGCAAGTGCTCATGCTTTGTTGGAGAAGCAACAGCAGCAGCAGTCTATGAATGTCACCAATCAAGTTGTTGCAACCACTAGTCAACAAATAGGTGGATCTCAGCCACAGCTTCACTTACAAGCTATTCAACCCCACCCACAAATAATTTCAGTTTCACAATCCCAACAATTATTATCAGCAATTTCTAATGTGGCTAGCATTCCTAACTCGGTCGTCCAATCAAATTGTGTGTCTGTGAATGGCACAGCACCTTCAGCACCTGCTATTATGCCCTCCAATAATGTTCAGAGCAAAGAGAGTGATATGCCAAGCTTTCAGTCCCCCCTTGCTGAGGTGGAAATGAATGTTCCTTCAACTAATCAAGATAGTGAGTTGGATGGAGGTAAAAATTGTCAACTGACCAATGGTGCTGCTGTTGAGGCTCAGGAAAACACTCAGCCTCAGACCTCTTCTCCAGAAATTCATCAAGATGATGATGATGATGACGATATTCAAGAAGTTGGCCAGGTTATCAACACAACCAGTAATGGTTTTCTGTCAGGCACTGAAAAGGTAAGCATCAAGTTCTATGCTGTTGAATTTTTCATTTTCTTTGTGAATTGGAAATTTTTTTTAAGCATTCTCTGGAACTTTTTGCTTTTATTTCTATAATAAGTTTCATTAATAAAAGTATAACATTATTTGCGTATTAATCACTGCACTTGAATTCCATCAGACTGCAGAGTTGGAGAAGAAAGAAGATGCTGGTGGTGGCGGTGAATCAGACCCTGGAGTTATTGACATTGTCATCAACAATGTTGTGTGTTCGTACTCTGTTGGGTGCCATATAAACTTGCGGGAAGTAGCTACAAATGGCAATAATGTGGAGTACCGGCGAGAGCATGGGGTGAGTCTTGCCTTTTTTCAAACAATTCTTTTTTTCTGTTTTCATTCAATTGTCCTGTGTTATCTGTTTTTACTGTTCATTGAAAGCTTGATCATTTTAGAAGCCCAAATTTTATTTTTACTCAGAAATGCAAAATTTCTTGCCCATTGATGGTTTTATATAGCATTCTTATTTCTAAGTAATGATTGCACAGGACAGCAGTATTTTATTTATGAGAGAGATTTTTCCAAATGGATTTTATTTGCTTGGTTTTTGGATTTGATTCCAAATTACTCTAATAAAAGAATACTCAATCAATGGGGTTGGATATTTTCAAATATTATTTTGGCTGTCAAAATCTGGTTCTAGTTAAAAAGTGAATTTTATTATATTCTCTTGGTGTTTATGTTGTGTGATATTCCTGTATTTGATATGTGAACCGTATTCTCTTGCCTCCATGTTTGGGTTGTGCACTACCATCAAACAGGGTAAAAAGGGATGGGCGGGGTAAAAAGGGACAGTCCTCCAACATTTTGTAGAAATTTTGTAGCAGCTAAACTAATACAAATATTTCAAAATTAAAAATAGTGGCGTAAAGTTGAACATTTTTACTATCTTTACAGCATAAAGCAAGTTGAGAAATTATACATGTATTACCCCTAAAAAATCTCTGAAAAAAAGTGTGAAGAGTTAGATTTTGGAAAAGTACATCTGCTAAGGTCTGTAGCAGAAAAAATATTTGTCATATTGAAAAATTTTACTTACATAAAAGTTCACACTGTTGTTGGCTTAAAAACGTGATTGACAGAATTTGCATATCTCATTCCAAGAAAAAATGGCGGTCATTTGTGCAAAACGGGGTAATAAGGGACACCCCTAAAACTGCATTTGGAGTGAACTGCCTTGGTTAGCAAAGGCTCCAGTTAATGAAAAAATTAATTAACAACAAAGAAATTTGATTACATTCACCTTGCTTAGAATAAAGGGAAAACGAGTAAAAATTGCAGAAAATGTCATTTGTTCTACATTTATATCATCTACAATGAAAGAGGAGGACTTCAGAGCACTGTTAATAATACATGAGTACACTCTGCATGCTTCAAGCATTTTAAAACTGAGTTTTATTGCAAGTGTCCCTAATTACGTACCCCATTTCCAGATTAATTCAGGAGCCTTTTATATTGCGCCCAGCACCTTACAAATTGCATTTGGAATTATTTGGAGATGCCATACAATAGCCATCGCAAAGACCTTTAAAAATAAGCCCAAACACATTTGTAAAATGTTTTATGGTAAGAAGTTATTAACAAAAAAATGCTATAACTGTCACTTTTTACCCTGTTTGATGGTATTCATGTATGTGAACCATATTCTCTTGCCTCTGTGTTTATGTTGTGCACTATTCATGTATGTGAACCATATTCTCTTGCCTCCATATTTATGTTGTGCACTATTCATGTATGTGAACCATATTCTCTTGCCTCTGTATTTATGTTGTGCACTATTCATGTATGTGAACCATATTCTCTTGCCTCCATATTTATGTTGTGCACTATTCATGTATGTGAACCATATTCTCTTGCCTCTGTATTTATGTTGTGCACTATTCATGTATGTGAACCATATTCTCTTGCCTCCATATTTATGTTGTGCACTATTCATGTATGTGAACCATATTCTCTTGCCTCTGTATTTATGTTGTGCACTATTCATGTATGTGAACCATATTCTCTTGCCTCCGTATTTATGTTGTGCACTATTCATGCTGTCTCTTATACACATCTAGATGTGTATAAGAGACAGGTGTTTATGTTGTGCACTATTCATGTATGTGAACCATATTCTCTTGCCTCCGTGTTTATGTTGTGCAGTATTCATGTATGTGAACCATATTCTCTTGCCGTCGTGTTTATATGCACTATTCATGTATGTGAACCATATTCTCTTTCCTCCGTGTTTATGTTGTGCAGTATTCATGTATGTGAACCATATTCTCTTTCCTCCGTGTTTATGTTGTGCAATATTCATGTATGTGAACCATATTCTCTTTCCTCCATGTTAATGCTGTGCTCTTTTCATGTATTTAAACCATTTTCAGATGGTGACGATGAAGCTACGCAAACCCCCCACGACAGCTTCCATCTGGTCTTCTGGCAAAATTACCTGCACAGGTGGGCGCCTGCTCTGCTGCTCAAGAGGCGTAGCTTGCAATTCTTCAATGGAATTTAGTTTCAAAACCATGCAGGCTTCTGTAGATTTGTGCCCATTTCAAGTTTAGCATGTCACTCAGATGCATATTTTTCATCATTCAAGGAAAAATGCAGTTATACAATAATCTTTTACTACCACACAAACTTCAGTGTTCAATTAAAGCATGTATGAACAAGCCCATGAACAAAACTCTTCAAGGAATTATGTCCTTCACTGTTTAGTTAACATGTATGTGCAGTTTTTCTTTAATGAGTAAATAATCCGTGATCTGCATTGTTGCTCAATAATTGGCATGTTAGTTGCAAGAAATTCAGGAAATCACAAACATCAGTTGCCTCGACGTCATAAACTAACAGTAAATTATTTTGAGTAATAATGAGCGATTTAATTATCCTTAACCTGTTGATGCAAAATATGAAGACGTTTTACCGAACAGGTTCAACATCAGAAGTCGAGGCACGCACGGCCGCTCGTCGCGTGGCTCGCGCTCTGCAAAAGCTTGGCTGCAAGACGCGCTTCAAGAACTTCCGTGTCGTCAACGTTCTCGGCACATGTACCATGCCCTTCGCCATTAAGATCACGCCCTTCTCACGGCAGCACCGCAACAGTGCAAGGTAACAACAACTCCGTCGGCATGAGCCTTGACAAGGTAAATCTATTTTGTGACATCATGCAGGACTTCACATTGACAACTGAATGAACAGTATTACAAACGTACTTCGAAATACTACAATGCAAGATGCATAAATGAACGTTTTCAATATCGATATGGTGAATTTACTTGGCGTTTTCTTTGCTTTTAGATTCCTTGTTATCTTACGGTTCAAGCAGACTTATGATATAAGTACATATAAATTCCATTATAGTATGGTGCTCATGAAAAGACCCAAAGTGGCCACTTCAATTATGAGTCAGATGAAATTTGTACTGCACAGAATTATACTCTGCTAACGTTACCACAAAGACGAGTGCAAGTGATATGATGATCAAACAACGATAGAGCGATGCTGAAAACAATTTTTCTTGCTTCACTTCACATTCTCTTCAGCTATTGCTTTGTTCAGTTAGTATCTCATATGCATTGTACTTGAAACTTGATACAAGACATAGACAAATTGGCTCTTTTGATCTCGAAGGGATTTTTTTTTCAAATACCTTTGGATGCATATAGATCATATTCTTAGCATTAAAATTACCATGCTGCCAACTGTTGATACCAGGTACATGAAATGCTATTGCTGCAGTCTTAACTGTCTACTCGTATGTTGCAGTTATGAACCAGAGCTCCACCCTGGCGTTACCTACAGAATTCCTCACCCTAAAGCAACCCTCAAAATATTCTCGACTGGCAGCATAACAGTCACTGGTGAGCGTGCATGCCTTTGGTGCTCAGCACATTCATTGTTTTGACATTACGTTTAAATTTGAAATGTTATTCCTGAAATTTGTGTTGCAATTTTCATTGTTGAAACTATGTTAATAACAATTTCAGCCATGCATACTTTCATAACAGAATAATCTTTGCTTGAGCGTTTTCAACTCATTGTGATCTGATGTGGATCAAGCAGGTATTATATCAGGGACATAACCTAATCATAATTTCAAACACTAGTACGAATTGAAACAATATATACTTGTCTCTGATACTCCACCTGCCCCTAGACCTTGTGTACAAAATGATTATCTTTAATTAAGACATTTGAAATTGCTCATTAATGATATGCTGTGCAGCACCGAGCATCGCTAACGTGCAGGCAGCCATCGAGCATGTGTATCCTCTGGTGAGCGAGTTCTCCAAAGAACGCACGGCCGAAGAGGAGGCGCGACGTAGCGCGACCAGCGTCGCAAACCACGCCGTGCGACATCGACCCGTTGGCTTCTCTCTTGATGAAGATGAAGAAGAGGAACCTGGTGTGGGGCCGCCTTCCTTCATAGATGAGTTTCCTGACTCGCCACCATCATTCATGAAGCGCAAGCGTAGCGATTTGTCTTTCGGGAACGACAATAAGCTTAGAAAATTAGGTCCTATTGATCTTGTGTCTGACGACTCCGATGATAGTTCTGATGATATGGAAGACGTCGATGACGGATTCTCTTGAACTTCATAAGTGAACTAGTATTTACTCCTTCTTGTGGCTTATAAAGTTTCTTGAAGGTTCAGCTTAATGAACAAATATCTGCCCATTAATGATGACCAACTAGCGCAACAATGTGTAAAGCAGTATCAATCCATATTCACGTTAAAACGAGAACTAAACTTCACGAGAACTCCTCGAATTTATCAGTACTCACAATCAGTCTCGATTTGCCCCTGTAATTTGGGACAATTTTTGCAGCATTTTGGTAATGCTGCAACTTTTCAAGAAATTGTAGGAATCCAGCTGTTTGTGTGCCTATTGTTCCTATTTTGCAACGGAATGGTGTCGTTGCTTTTCTTCATGTGGATGGAGTCATGGGGATCAATAATGTCTGTTTTTCTACCATTATCTGTCTCAAGTTCATGTTGGAACATAACTTTGTTTTTTTCGTAATTAACCTCTTTACTCGTTTTTAGCGATTGACTCGATAGTCGTCTGGTGAGATTATTTTGTATCCTGTCCTTACTATTACGATTCCTTTAGATGTTCACGAGCCAAAGTTCCCTTAAGTTACACAGTGAATTTGGTCGAGTGGAAAAGCAGTTTTTGCTTTAAGTAGTCTGGTACGGCACGATAAAATGCGAGATGCTTTCTTTGATCATGCCCATAGCAATTTATTGAACGGTCCTTTGATTATTAGAAAATTTTCACTTCCAGTGACCATAATCTCGGCACATAGTTTTTTTCATTTCAAGATTGCTCGACCGTCTTCAGTCCCCAACACTTGTAAACTTTGCTGGATTTAAAAATCGATTCAACTTTTAGCTTTTCAGATCAAGACTGCTACTGGATTGTAAAATGATTGTTATGTTCTGGTTTTGATTATTCACGCTAAAGATAGACAACGTGATGTGACTTTTTCTTTGGCTAATTATTGAAACGAAAGTGTCAAATTTTTTGTCGTAACGCAAAACTGGTTATTGATACACAGATTTCCATTCGATTTTGTTTGAGAGAAATCGTTGCTTCTCTCACTTGTTTTCAGGAAAGGACTACTTGCCATTCTTGTAAATTTATCCTTTTTCTTCCCCCTAAGTTGTTCCTAGCGAATATTTTCTTATTCCAGATCTTGAATTCATTACCAAAAATTATTTTCGTCCACCAAACTGCTCCAACTGTAAACTAATCATTAGCTAGGTTAGTGCCAAACCAGTGCTGAGTTGCGGTAGAACAATGTGATGTAGTGTGCTCTGTAAGTTGTTATTTATTTGATTTCGTTTCAATTGGTTACACAACGAGTGCAAGTTTCTAATCTGCTAGCTCTTCTTCTGCATAAAAGCTGACTGAATTTACGCTGGTGCAATTCATTCATGTGGTGCATGATTAAATGGGTTGCACTTTATCCAACACTTGTAAGTAATTACCATCGAATTGGGTTGTTCGTAAATTTCCACTTGCAGAATGTTAGCAAGAATATTAGAGCGCCTGGAATGAGCTGTATTAAGCCTTCGGTATCCTGGCTGCTGTGACGGCCCGCGTTACACTGGAAGTTTAGGGCATGTCCATTGTCCAGTCTATAGGAGCAGACATGATGGGTATTCTTCATTGATGTTGTGGCTGGAGTAAATCGTTATTCTAGTTTTATTTAATTTTAATTTCCGTTGTTGCTTCTATTATTAGAATTTCCCATTCGTTTTGCTCGGTTGTTTAATCACCTTCCTTGATGTGTTTGCACATGTGATTTTAATGTTTCACTTTGATCAATAATTTTTATCATTCTAATCTAAAAGACAATGTTAACTTTTTTGTCAACCCTTGGCATTGGTTGATGAATCAACTTGTTGGCTGCACACTTGCTATGCTGAGTTCACGACTCATTCGTGAATGTTATAGTGTTAACTTCGCCTTATAATTCTGTAAATTATATCAATGTATCAATGTGAGGTCAGTAAATTGTGCAGCCATCAATATTTAACGCAGGTATTTATTGTGCCAATATTGGTCACGTCGTATTAAATAACTGGTAATAGTTTCACCGATAATACAGATTTATATCAAATCGTATTATGACTACTTCATCTAATATTTCCTTGATGTGTTTGCACATGTGATTTTAATGTTTCACTTTGATCAATAATTTTTATCATTTTAATCTAAAAAAATTATTGATTTTTATTTTTAAAATCATTTATTTTGTCATTTGATTCTTGCATTGTCTCCAACTTTACGCAAGTGTGCAAAATTTCAGATCGATAGGATAAGTAGAAGTGGGTTAAATTTCGATTATAAGATTTGTAGCAGACAGACAGACAAACAAGAAGTGAAGTTAAAGAGAAGTTTTGTAAAGACAATGTTAACTTTTTTGTCAACCCTTGGCATTGGTTGATGAATCAACTTGTTGGCTGCAGCTGCACACTTGCTATGCTGAGTTCACGACTCATTCGTGAATGTTATAGTGTTAACTTCACCTTATAATTCTGTAAATTATATCAATGTGAGGTCAGTAAATTGTGCAGCCATCAATATTTAACGCAGGTATTTATTGTGCCAATATTGGTCACGTCGTATTAAATAACTGATAATAGTTTCACCGATAATACAGATTTATATCAAATCGTATTATGAATACTTCATCTAATAACAATGACTAGCACCCATCACAGCGAAATCGTGTGTTGCACGTTTGTTCCACGCTCAACAGAATTCCTCTTATATTCATTTTCAGAATAGTTGCGAACTTGAATTGATAGTATTATTTGTGAACTGTGAGAAGGGAGACTGTAGTAAGTTTGGAATAGTGAAAACAAATTTTTTCATTGTCCACTGTGTTTGCTTCAAAATGTTAAACTTGTGTTTTCTGGCAAGATTATGAGAATTTCGGTGTGATAATAAGGGCTTTAAAACAAGATGTTAACTCGCGTGAGCGAGTGCCTAGCTACTGCTATGCTGCCTAGATTTTGTGTCGCGCGTAACAGTAAAACTCTTATGCTTCCTCAGAGCTCGTCATTATTTCATTGATGTTTTTCGTGCATAGGTATTATCTCATTTCTCTCACGCGATTCTCGACTGTCACTAAATCTGTAGCTAAAAATCGTTTTGCTTATTAACGGAATTATTTATGTTTTTGCAAGTCATCCGTTAGCCTTACTTGTCCGCATTCGCTCAGGAATCCATCTTGAGGAAAAATGGCATATCAGTATCAGGAAGATTTACTTATACTAATACGTGCACAATTTTAGGTATAAAAATTGAAGTGTTTTGGTGAACCGCTGCGGTTGGATTTTGGTGTCTTTGTGATGATTTAATAAGTAAATTAACTGTGTGATTAAATCCTCTGCACGAGCCAACATTTTTGCTATGGTTGACCGAAATAATTTTACTAATAAAAGCAACGCAGTGAGCGAAATAATAAAAAGTATTTGGTTATAATAATAGATCAATTGGATAAGATCACGTCCCCCTCTTGCCTGGAGTTGACGCGTACTGGCTGTTTGAAGCGATCCTTGCATAGCGGCTGTGAACGTGACTTCCCGTGTTAGCTGAGCGTCTTTAATAGCTTGCGCTCCTTGGTATACTTGGTATTTGTTACGGACGTAGCAGTCCCAGGCCACGATGGATCGCCGCCTCCCGGTCTGCACGCTTTTCCGCATCTAAATAGACCGAGGAAAATATAACTTTTTTCGCATTTATATTATCTTGGAGTCTGTCTTCTTCTAATCCGTTTTGCTCAAATTGATCTATATTGTTGAGTTAAATGGCTGAAATTTGTTTCAAGATCAATAGAACAATTGCTAATAACTCATATTGATTTTAGTAATGTTTACCTGTTATTTTTTAGTTCATCAATCCAAAGATGGGCGTAAGCAACCTAAGCCTCTTGTGTTGTTTCTGTTCTAGCGCAATTCAAATTATGATCATATTGAATTATAATATTTATCAATTATTACTAAGTGAACATTTCATAGTCTTGGGTGAGCTATTGTGCATCTCAAGATCATGCTACATATTATCAAAACGTGGAGGCCAGCCTTGTCTTTTGTGTGGTTTGGTGGTCGCAATCCCTTCGTTGCGTTGTCATTTTCCCGTATTAATATATCTACGTCTTAGCAATTTGAAAGCTCTTTGGTTTATTTTGTAAATACTTAGGTTACATGTGGTCTAGAAGTTCCGTGTTAATACGTAGTAATTTAATTTAGATAAACGTTGAAGTCAGATGGCATTGGTAGTTTTGTTCCATCACGAACGTTTCTACATCACTTCGCGTAAGATCTGCCTGTACAGCTGCAGCCAAGTAGTTCATGTGCTTCTCGTGTATCATACAACACAATTGCCTTTTAGTGCTCTTCTTACATGGTAATTGTTCATTAATATCAAAGTAGTTAACGAGCTACTTGGCAGTGTATTAATTTTCCCATGTTGATTGAATTTAGTTTGTAAGTAAATTTTTACAGTAGTTTCAACATGCATAAACTATAGAGACAACAAATTCTTTTTCATTTGCTAGATATTGACAAGAATTCCATCGCTAGTTTCAAATTGAAACTTCATGCGATTAGCTCGCGTAAAACGTGCTCCCGCTGTAGATTTATTTCGTGGCCTAACGTTCAACTGAATGCTTCATTTCGCAGTAAAGTTAAATGTTGCCAGCAATGTTCATTAGTACCACTTCTACTCAAGGTTAAAATTCTCACGATTCTCTTCACTGATCTCTCGGCAAACTCGTTACACTGGATGCGTGGGAGGTCATTCGTATTGTGCTTTCTTCAGTCATGTGCTCTTTGTTTTGATGGGTTCATGGCGTTTTTGTAAATTTATTTTTGGTGCCACTTATTTTATTTACATTCAAAGTATGACAGTAGGTCGAGTTGTATTGAGTAAATGAGTAAAGAACAGAATTTGGAAGGAGCCCATCATAGCAAGACTGAAGTTTATCTTTGGCACAGCTCGAAATTCCTCTCCACAGAATGCCTCCTTTAGCCCTTCAGCATTTGACTTCTGTGTAAGACATCTAACGTTGATCCTAGAGCTTGCCAAACAACTTGAAATTGTATTCAGACTTTAATACATATTTTGTAAGGCGCTGCCCTCAACAAATGGTCACCGATTAGACCGCACAAGTCTTTTAGCTCAATTCTGTGTGAGCGTTGATTGTGGTTCGTCTATTTACAGGAGCTGCTTTGACCATTCATATCAGTAGCCTTATTGAGAGTTACGGTGGTCTGTGAGAAAATCTTGCTTAGCACTACATGAGAGATCCACTCATCTGAAATTATTCTTCCTGCAGATCTGTGATGACTTGCTACCGGTAGCGATGCCCGGTGGGTTTGGCATTGTCGCTGGCATTTTACCAGCCTTAACTTATTGCCCTCACTTATTATTAATAATTTAACGTAGCATCTAACATAGCTGTAAGTTACGTGTGCGTATATTGTTTCCTTGCATTTTTTGAGCAATGCCGATGCGTCTCGTCTCGCCTGTAGATGCTAATGACGCCAGGGCCCACCGCCAGCTCACAATTCACCGGCGTTTATTTTTACATTGCTCAAGTTTTGACCAAATCTCACGTAGTGGCGGCTTGCGTTTCTACTTTAGTTTCAGCGTTATGAAGGTGGCATATAACACTTTCTCGTGATGACTAACTTTTTGCACGAGTTTCGGCCAGTGATGAAATGACTAACAACCAGACGGCTTCAAGTTTGATCACCCCACTAAGCTTTCAGTCGCACTTATTACGCCTTTGTCGACTGTTAATTAATGGTTTCGTTAAGTGCGTGTCTTACTAACATTAGCTTTTATGGCTTCCAGTGTTGCGCGCTTCCTTTCTTTGCCCACCGCTTTTCATTGTTCCGCATTTCATTTCCAGATTTGATACTATTTCCCTTCCAGTGGAAATAGTGATATTTACCGTTCATAGGTCGTAATTTATCTGTAATTGGACGTTTTTCCCTCGGGAATATCATGACAAAATGTACAGCGGAACACGATAACTACAAGATGTCTTTCATGTTCTTTTTCTGTATTGGGCTCGACCACATGGTGCATGTGTCAACTTTCTGGCGCATTGTTATGGATTTCTGTTGGCCTTGCTGCATTTAACGAAAATTTCCTTGTGCTGCACTGCTGTACATAAGTTGCGTTTCATGTTCCTTTCCATCATTATCAGTAGTATTATTGGAGAGTATTTCCGTGTGCTTATTGTAGCTTTTCTTTTGTTCGTTCAATCACTCAAGTTAGCTGTCAAAATGCGCGCCTTCTTCCCTCTTCTTGCTCTCCTATGTACTTAGTCATTTATAGACGCCACTGTCTACTGATCCAGTACCACAGGGTGTAATCTGACCATTTTTTTGCTGGAACATTGAACTTTCAATTTGGACTCTGCGCAATTGATATCGATGTAATTGTTAGACATTTTTTCAAAGTTTATGTAGTCGTCTGTCTGAGCCGAGACGATCGTATCCAGTTAGCTTGTTCTTTGCAGAGGAAGGTGAAACGATCAACGGCTGGTGATCATTGGAAAATTTGTTTTAGTTGTTGAATTCTGTTGTGTACACATGAGACTGCGAACAAGATTGTACGTTAAGGATAGTATCACAACCTTTTGCACTTTGTTTCTTTTGTACTGTCTGACAGCTTGAAAAATTTCAGTGTTTTATAACGTGTAAAAGTACTCTACAGTTTTGAAAGTATTTTTTCCCTACCGACAAGAAATGCATGCGGAAAGAACTAAGTATGAATGGTTGTACCGAAGACAATTTTATTGAAGATGCACAATTCGTAGTCAGTCAATTCAAAACATATAGTAAGATTAGCATAATTATCAACGCTGGTAATGCAGGCTGATTAACATAGTTGATTATTAGTCATAAATTGTGATACGCACATAATTTCATAGTGTCCAAACCTATGAAGCGATTTTCCTAGACAACGCAAATTTTATCTGTTTTTGGCACAGATTGACAATGTTAAATGCTTACTGAGTAAAGTTAGAACGACCCTTCTTGCGAACAGTATGATGATATAGCTACAATAAATAACTTAGCTCTACCATGCAACGCGTGAGTTTACATCTCAGCGCTGTAAAAATTGACGTCATGTAATAAAACAACAACCTGTTACTAGCGTACGTGAATGACCAGAAACTTCGTATTAAAGGGTTCCTAACACGACCATCTGTCTACATTATCTACGGAAAAGGGCAGCATGCTATCGCACCGCTAAAATACTATTAATCAAACTCGGTCATAAAAGCTGCAATATGAATCTATTAGCTAGCAGTCCTCGTAACACGACTTAACCCGGCAATGCTTCGAATTCCGTACAACAAATTGAAATATGTGTTCACCCATTAGCTCAGAATCGCAACAAGACCGGACGCATTATTAATTTAACAATAGATTTTAAATAATTACTACCCCGGGCCATTACCCTTCACCAACAAATACCAAGATATACTAATATTTAGGACAGCAAATCAAAAGTTTCACATTTGTTCGTTTCATAGTAGTTGCTGTAACAAGATCTTTCTCGGGTGTATAAAACAAGCTAGGCATAAAATAACTAACTATCGTGTTATCTCCAAGACCACAACAAGAAAAAAAAATCGCACCACTTTGTGCGTTACGACGTCGATCTTGCATTCCTATGAAATCTAAGCGCACAGTTAAGACTGGGGCACTGCAAGAACTATCGAGTGCTGCCCTCCAACGCTCACCGATACGACTTTCCTCTCTGCCAGCTGCTTGCCTGTGAACTCTTTTGGCTCCCAACAATCTTCATCGTCGCCTTGACTCATCTGGGACGATGTTCCCATACCAAATCCGTAGGCCACGCCTGCTCAAACACATTTAAAATAAAATTTACGCATTAAAACACACTGAGTTCCGATTTAGCTTTTTTTACCTGATACATTAATTTTACGTGATAAGTATACCAGTATTGACATGTGAAAGAAATTAGTATCTTAGCTCAAGAGAATTCTGTAACATTCATCATCTCGATGAGTGATGCCGGCCAATTGTGAACGGTATCAGCTCAAGTAGCTTTCAATTTGAATGATTTGCAGTTACAAAAATTTTGAATTCGATTTCTGTTACTACGATTAATCAACACGAAGAGCATCAATATGACTTATGTGATAATAGCTAATCAATTGCCTACCCTCTTCCGTGACTGCAACCGACACACAGCCTGCCGCGGACACGTCCTTGACAGGCTGCTTGAGAGTCTCGATCAGCGTGGGCACTTTAGCGTCCTTCCTGTCGGCGTCTCCGAGGCCCAGGCGTCCGTAGTCATGTCGTCCCATGGTGTAAACTCGTCCTTCGCTGTCTAAACCCACACTGAAACAAAACACAATCTTTTTACATACGTCAACACATATCAGGAGCAATATTTTTCATTTCTATTATATTTTATAATATATATTTTTATCAAGGTTCATCATTGTCTGATTGTCAAGGAGTCATAGACTCATAGATATATGAATCTACTTAAAGATATATGAATACAAAACACGTACGTATCAAATAAACAATAGGAGTGCAAATTCAGAGCCAAAATACTACCGTACTTAATAGTTCAATCTATCAACATGGTTATTACAAAAATACGTAAGTGGGGTGAATAGTAAGAAACAGACACAAGTGATCATTAGCTACTTACGTGTGGTGCTGCCCGCTTGTGAATTTCTTCCATTTCTTGTCAGCCATTGACTTAATAAGCGTCGGCTGGAATTTAGTGGACGTGTCTTCATCGCCTGGGAAAAAAATTGCGCGGTCATAATTGCCTTGTTAATAGTGAACGGGTAATGTTGTAGGAAGTATATTTTAAATTGAAGAGCATGTATGTATCGCTATATAAATAAAACATATATCTCTAATAGGAAAAGAGACGTAGTCGATTTGAATTTGATGTATGTAGTATTATAAACTGTTGAACAACAACTTCAGAGGTCGTCATATCTATTATAAATATAACATCCAGCAAACTCGCCCATTTGGTTGTAGTTATTGAGTCCCCAGGCGAATATAGCTCCTGTGCTGGCGTCTCTGGCGAAGGTGTTCTCACCACCGGCCCATACGTCGTCAAACGTGACCGCGACGCGTCGCAAACGCACCGCACGCACCGGAGCTGGTTGCAGCAATACCTCTGTAAGCAGAGTATAGTGTTAGCCAACTTAGCCTTGTTAGCTAGTCAATTTGTGTGCTAATTATTGGCCCATTGAGTAAGGTTTTTGTTTGAACTTAACGGTGGGCCGCTGTGACCAGTGTGTGGCGCCTGGTGGCTATGGCACATTTTCAGTCAGTCTTAGGTAGAGAACATTTTTCCACACAAAAAAATAGGAATCGTTCATGACCGTGAAAGTATTCGCATATCAAGTGGTACGAGAGCCACAGTTTGGGGATCCCTGTAATAATGTCAAGATCAACTAATGAACAAAACAAAAAAAATCAGCTGCTCACCAAAACCATTCCTGTTCCTGAGATCTCTAGATGCAAATCTCTCAGCCAGTCTGCCCAGCTGTCCGCTCTCGGCACAGCCGCAGGTGTATAGACGGCCGGCCTGGCTCAGCAATGCTAAATGGTTGTTTCCTGACGCCAACTTTATGATGGCTTCACCGCCTGCTGGCAGCAAGCGAGGGCTGCGCTGGATAGTGCCACTCTCTAGGAAACCCAGCGGACCACTGTTGTCCTGCCAAAAATTTAATCATAATTGAGTTTGCATGTCAGAAAAATTGTACATTCATATATGAAACATAAATAAAGAGTTTAAATTTACGTGGGAAAGCAATCTGAATAGTTGTGTTCCGCTAACATCATGGGTTATGAATGTGGACATTTAGCCATTACTTCACGAAGACCAGCCACGAAAAAAACATCAATGCACTAGTGAGCTTCATGAAAATTTGATTACAGGGGAAGAAACTTAAGTTTCGATAGTGATCTTTAAAAGATAGATGTTAACATTGGTTATATCATCCCAAGAAAATTAAGATAAATACTTAATTGTAAGGCACAAAAACTGTTTCATTTAGTTATTGACAACATTGATGAGTTCTAAATTTTAATTTTAATTCTAAACATAGAAATAAAAATTTTACTTCTAAATTTTTTTTTTACCTCTAAACATACAAGTAAAGTGCAGATTTTTTTAAACAGTACAAAATCATGTGCAATGCGCAGTAAAATACTGGCATCATAAAATTCCAAGGATATATTGTATATACAGACTCTGAAGCAGCCCCAGGCGTAGACTCTGCCATCGTGTGTGAGGGCAGCAGTGTGGCAGTCACCAGCCGTGATCTGTACCACTCGCCCCTCAATGCCCTCTACACAGCCAGCGCTGAAGTTGTCTTCTTCACAGGAAGTGGTGCGTCCTAATGCACCCTCATCATTGCAGCCCCATGTATGTACCTGAAGCAGAAATTTATATATACTCTAATAATATCAATAGATTTGCTTATAACTACTTGATAAGCTATTAGGTGACACAAAGGCTTGAAGTCATTACTGAAAATAAGATTTACTTCCCTGATCCCTCCCTTCCATATTTAGAATCTTCGACTTACTTTTCCTTGCTCATCAAGACAAACTGAGTGTAGTCCTCCAGCACACACTGCAACAATGTTAGGCAATCCAGGTACGACTGCTACCCTGGTTTTCTCTTCTACATCAGGGCCAAGACCGAGCTGTCCTATGTCACCCATGCCCACTGTAAGCACCACACCGTCCTTCACAGCAGGGGCAGTGAGCTGCACAGGAGGACTGCTGCTGCCACTGCTTACTGTTCATATTAAAAACATTTTAATTAGGTACGTACTGAATTTATTGGCTCGAACATATTGTTGACTGTTTTGCATCTGACTTAAGAAAATAATTTAATCAGTAGTAGAGATCAGTTGGAGTTGATATGTAAATCATTTGATATGAGTTGCATAAAATGTGTGTAAGAATTGAATACATTAGCAGCTGAACGCCAAGAGATTGAAACACAAAAAATCCTAGACAGATGGAGAGAGAAAGAATACCTATCATTAAGAAATAAATGGATCTCCAAACTCACAAAAATAAGAAAAATTTATCTAGACAATTACCTTTGGACTTTTTGCTAGTTGGCTGTAGCACAGCATCTGCAGCAGCACTTCTCTTGCGACCTCTCCCTGCTTTGCTGTTGGAATCGGCTGGGGCTTTGACAGAAGCAGGCATTTCTTTTTCAGCTGGTTTGGCTTTCCCATTCAATAAGTTACTTGCAGGCACTTTTTGAACTCCTCTCTGACTTTTCTTAGGTTCACTGACAGGTTTGACAGCTTTGGTTTGATCCACTTCCATTACTTCAGCTGTAGCACTTCCAGGAGTTGCTGCTTCAACAGCCTTTGACTGGGCTTTGCTTGCTCGAACCATCTGAAAAATATCAATGTGTATTTACATTGGTCTTTCACTTTAATCCCAATGCCTAAATGGCAAATTACACAGAAGCTACACATGAATGATTGAATCAGACAAAAAACGCCATGAATTTGGCCAATTTCACCAATTCCTATGACTTCTTCTAATTTGTTAAGAAGAAAATGAGAAAAATGCAATTTTTACCTGCAATTTTCAAAAATCATCCAAAAACAATTGTTTTTGTTGGCAATTTTAAGAAAATTCTGCCTGTTATTCCAAATTGGCGCCAATGACCTATACACTACACAGCTAGCATGGAATACTGTCAAACGGTTGGCGCCAATGACCTATACGCTACACAGCTAGCATGGAATACTGTCAAACGGGGTAGATCGGAACAGTCCTCCATCACAGCATATATATATATAAATGTTATATATACAGCAAAACTAATTGAAAAATTGCAAACTAAAAATAGTGGTGAAAACTGAACATTTTCCTATCTATGTAGCACAAAGGCAGTCGAGAAATCATACATCTACTAGCTCTAAAAATTCCCTGAAAAAAAACATTTAAAGGTGATATTTTTGGAAAAGTACTTCTGCTAAGGTCTGAAGTGAAAAAAAATATCTACTGGATTGAAAATTTTGCTTTAAAGAAACTTTCAGAGAGATTTTGGCTTTAAAACTTTATTGACTTAATTTGCATACGGTACATGGTTCATACCAGCATTTAGAAAAAAAATTCCATGACTCTCCATGACGATCAATATAATTTTCCAACACTCATATACGACAGGTTTAGCATGACTGAAAGACTAACCGTGCATATTCTATCATCTCCTACACTTATAAATAGCAAACATGTAAATGCATAGTTCTTCATGGCTCTTCAAAGATGCTGCCCCATATATGACATATCTTTCAGGCTGTCTACCGTAACTCCCTTACTTGTTAGCAGTTACTGCATCACTTCCGTGACGTCACTATAGTACGTCCATATAAGCTCCCCGAGCAGACCTTCAGTCAGTCTTAGGCAGTCACAGGCGAGATGTAGTAAAGCCATCATCATGTAGTCCGCAGGACATGCCAGACTCTGGCGTCGAGTAGCCTCCGTCGTTAGAGTAACCATCTAAAACCTACCTTGTGTACTTATCACCAAGCTTCCTTGTATTCCCATCTAGTTTGTAAATATATAACTAAGAAACTCGCCTCTCAATCAACCTGCCACTTATTGGGACCCTAGATAAAACCCTTGGACCCTCAGTCAGACCAAATCACATCCTGACATATCAAAGTCTTTCAAGCACAACGTACACATCGCCATACCTTCATGCTTTGGATGGAGTCATGAAATTTACACTTTCCAGGCAAATTAGGCAGGCATGGTGATGTAGAAATTGCACCCTGAAGATGGAACGCTGCCACTGCAGATCAAAAAGTTTTCGAGTGCAACTGAACTTGGTGACCAAGATCCCATGATTGGTTCTCCAATCAGAACACATGAAACAAGACACTGTGGCACAGACTCTTGTTTCATGCGTGACAATCAGAACGCAGGAAACAAGAGACTGCAGAAAAAGTAAACATATGCAGCACAGATAAACACTTAATTTTTTCTTCTTTTATTTGCAAATTCCAAAACTTTCCATAACCTGAAATGAAATTTAATGAATTCCCAGGCCTGGAAAATGAAAAATCAAATGCCCTGACTTTCCAGGTTTTCCATGACCAGTAAGAAGCCTATGCATACCCCTGGGTGCAGAAAGTGGGACTGTGGGTGAATATCAAAATAACTTTGGCAACACATCAGGAGCAAAATTTAAGCCTTCAGAAGATCTTGCTGACACATTTGGATTGAAATTATTGTATTTTAGAAATTACTTTGAAATTATTGCAAATCTGAGTTGGTTGGATCAAGATGCAGTGAAGCTTGTCCGGAAATAAGTTGCGATGAGTGTAAGTGTTGCAGTGCATGAAGAATAAAGGATATACCGCAAAATGGGGTTACTTTGACTCCCGGGGTAACTTTGACCACTTTCGTTTTTTTAACAAAAACCCCCAAAACTCAAAAACTATTTGACATAGAAAAATTTTGTTGATGGCCATTAAAGGCCTAATACTGAGGCTACGCAACACAATAGAAAGATTTAAAAAGTTTGCATATCTAATAGGTTAAAAAATTAAAAATGTGACCCAAAAAATGAGCTATTATCTAAAGCCTGTCAGAGTACCCCCTCCAATTTTTTTATTCATAGCTACCTATGTAACATATTTTATGTTTATTACACCTATTAATGTTTTTTCTTTATGTTTCAGACTCTACAGAGTCTTATATATGGTAGTTTTAACTTAATTTCCAAGCCAGTCAATGTTACCCCATCACAGCTGCCATTAGGTGGTCACATTTTGCCTATTGGGGGGTGGCACCCCCAATTTGCAAACTATGACACTTTTCTAAAATTTGTCATTTGCATCTGTAACTAGAAGAGTTATACTACAATGCACCAAAACCTGGAGTTATTTTACCAAGAAATAAAATTGATTTTACCACCCAGTCAAAGAAACCCCAAAGTGGGGGGTAACAAAGACCATCACTTTTTTTGAAATTACATCAAAACTATGAGAGGCAGAAGCCAGCAATTTATGGTGAGCGAAGCTAGAGTATAGACCTGTATTTTGCATGTTTCAATTTAAGTTTAACTTATCTAGTAAAAAAAGGCATCATTTCGAAAAAAAAAAAGTGATCAAAGTTACCCCATTTTACGGTACTATCAGAGTTAGTTGCATAATTTTTTAATAAAAATTGCCTGGCAACGCATCTTGTAAATGGCTGGAAACATTTTGGGCTAAAAATCCAAATCTTGGCAATGCTGCTTGCAAAGCTATGTAGCATGTTATTAGGAAAGTACATATTTTATTTGTCAACATAAATGTCACATTAGTCACCATCCAGCAACCCAGGGAGCAGAAAGTGGGTGAATATCAAAATATCTTTGGTGACGCATCTGTCGCATCAGCAGCAAAATATATGCTTCCAGAAGATTTTGCCATCACATTTGGGTTGAAATAATTGCATTTTAGAAATAACTTTGAAATTATGGCAATTATTGCAAATCTGAAAGACCACAAGTGCACACAGTAAGGTTTCCGGCACGTTGGTTGGATCAGGATGCAGTGAAGCTTGTCCAGAAATCAGTTGGGATGAGTGCAAGTGTTGCAGTGCATGGAGACTTGGAGAGTAAGGGATATACTATCAGAGTTAGTTGCAGTATTTTTTATAAAAAATCACTTGGCAACTTATCTTAAAAATGGCTGGTGACATTTTGGGCTAAAAACCCATATCTTGGCAATGGCAATGCTGCCTGCAAACTTTGCACCCTGGTGCATATCTTGGTCGAAAATAAAATGTCGGCCATTCCTGCAAGATAGGGTATTATAAGACACCCGCCCCCCCTCGGGCAAGCGTGGAAAACCTCTACCTGTAGGGCCGCGATAAGAGCTTTCCCGCCATTTCGGGAACCGCAAGATTTACGCCAGATGAATTACCTCCTATCTAATTGTTAACTAAAGTGCACAATCATCCGCAAGATTCCTCATGTATTAAAAACTTGTCACGTTGGAGCTGCAAGATTTCAGAAGCAAGCAGGAAAATTCCAATCCTGTCCAGGCCCTGGGTAATAATACACAAAACTGCTACAAATGCATTTACAGTACAAGTGTACAAGTACAAGTGTACAACTTCAGTTAGCAAAGCAAGATTGGAATTTTCCTACTTGTTTCTGAAATCTGGCAGCTCCAACTGGACAAATTTTCAATACCTTTGGAATCTCACTGCCCAATCCTGCACTTTTGTTAACAATTAGATAAGAGTTAATCATCTGGCAGAAATTACACAGTTCCAGAAATGGCAGGAAAGCTCTAGTTGCAGCCCTAATGGAGTAATGGTAGAAGTTTTCCATGCTATGATGCTTGTAGCAAAGCCTTTGACCAACAAAAAATCAATTAGTCACTAATAATTCTTAACAAATTTGCTTCTCTCAGCAAAAAATTTTACCTTGCATGGATTTTGGCTTCTGGCAAAGTTGGCTTTGTTCAATCGTTGCATTTAGCCTACTTCATTGGGCCATCATCATTTTGTATGAATGGAAATGCAAATCCCTATGCAGAATCCTCCTGAAACTGCGTGAGGAGATTCCTAAAGCAACTGCATGCCTTCGTGCAGAACGTCTTGCCCGGTCTTGGTGAGTGGATGACTGCTGCTTTCACCCTCTCAACATTTTCTGGTGTTCTGATGCTGATGGACCTGCGTCGGCCATCTGTATCTCTTCTTAGTGTGCTACCAGTTGCCTCCAACTGCCTAACCCAGGACCGAATTGTGTTCGCCTGAGGAAGAGCATCATTGCATGGAATATTGAACCGCCGCCGAAAAGCTCTTAGCGTTGCAATCACGGATTGATTGTTCTCGAAATATGCGCGTACAGCAAAGCCACGATGTTTTCCTGACCACACAGACACCATGTTGGCCTACTAAAATGAGAATACCGGAGGGGCAGAAAAAAACACCCTTTCTCCTTCCTTGCGTGTACTGACTGCTCAAAAGCAGCTCAATCGGTTCTGCCCCACCACCACCAGACACCAGTACACGCAGCCAATACCTATTTCCCATAGGAACTCACGAGTAATATTTACTAATATTATGTCCTACTAAATATCTCGTACAATTACATAAATTAACTTCACTTACCTTAAATCCGTGTTTGAGAAAGTTTATAATTGAACTCAAGTTCTCACTTATGTACTCAAAGGATGCTTTTCGGCCGAGTCTGCCGACACACGTTTGCGGGTTTGTACACACGAGTTGTGGGACTGGGATTACCGTTGGCGGGAATTTCAAGATTCCTACCAGAATGCGGATTGTGCAAGCATGTATAAAAAAAAACAGCTTTTTCATCCTATTCAATTTTTCTTCCGAAGTTAAACATTTCTGTCAGGTATACAAGTTATGATTGAATGCGCAATTTTGTTTCGAGAATTTGAATTGATTCATGATTCATCTTTATTAAAAAAAATACTTTAGTCATCAAAGTGGCTGATGAATAGCAATTGTAAACGCAAAATGAGGTAAAAAACCGAAACCTCCACGACAAGATAGATGGCATTGAAGGTAGCAAGTAATAATCGCCATACGTTGATCAAATTAGCATAATTCGCGTTAAAGCGAAAGTATGTTCTACTTTGAATTATTGCCGAGTTTCATCCACATGATAGAATAGATTTGCTATCGGTACTCCTACCGTCATTAATTTTGTTAATTATTGTTGTCAAGATAAATTGACAGGACTCATTGACAGTGCAAGGGCCATAAAACGATTATTTTGAATGACATGAACCGTACATCATAAAAAAGAAAAAATATTGCAATCAATTTATGAACTTAAGAATAAGATTGAGCTCCAAAATCCAGTTCATATATATTTTTTTCATAACATTACTTACTGCAAAATGTAGGTGAATAATAGAATATGGTCGTAATAGTTTGTTTTGAAGCCTGGTGCTGGAAAAATGTAAATAGGGGCTGCTCGGGCGCGTATCATCGATACGTATCACAGGCATTGCCGCATTGGAAAATGGGAAAGGGGGTACGGTTAATGATCACACAATGACTTTATTTTAGTTTTAGTATTTTACCTTAATATCACGAATAAAAAGTTATAGTTCCCGTTAATTTTATATATGCGCCTTCCATTTACCATCCGTCCAGCAGGATACAAATCGTGTCGGGATACGATGTGGACCTGAAAATTTATTCTACTGGAAGAATATTGGGGCATTGTAACACAGGGACCACTTTGTCACTCCTCTATACAGTTAGTCACATCACTCTGCAGTCAGTCTCACCACTCTGCAGTCAGTCACACAACTCTGCAGACTGCAGGATATCACACCACTCTGCCAGCAGTCTCACCACTCTGCAGTCAGTCACACCACTCTGCAGTCAGTCACACCACTTTGCAGGCAGTCACACCACTCTGCAGGCAGTCACACCACTCTGCAAGCAGTCACACCATTCTGCAGTCAGTCACACCACTTTGCAGTCAGTCTCACCACTCTGCAGGCAGTCACACCACTCTGCAGGCAGTCACACCACTCTGCAGGCAGTAGTGAGAACAAGGCAGTGATTTACTCGAGCTCAATTATGATTACATGCTTTTCAATGAATAATTTATTTGCTAAAGCTTTGGTTCAAATTTATGTACAAAGGATATGAAAGCGTGCTTTAGGTATGAACAAGGAATTTGTACACACGGGAATTTAATTTATCTATTTCTATCAACTGGATGTTCATTGACGTAACTACGAACATTGACATCGATTAACTATGAGCGAATAATATAATTTTTTGAAGTTTAGTAGATTTAGGAGCCGGATATTTCAACAATATGCAGGAGTTTCAGGGTTCGAAAAATCTTTTTATGGATTATCCTCGAGAACTTTTTTTTTAATTACTCGCATAACATTTTCTCTCGTCGCTTTCATCCCCCAAGTTATTCGGCAAGAATGTCTGCAGACTCGTAAGGAATTTCAAAGTTTAAAATCCAGCGAAAAGATGGCTTTTAGAATTTTTTCCCTTTGAGGAAGTCATTAAAATGAACTAGTTTTCGATGATGGTACTTTCCTGGCAGCTAACCTTAGCGTGGGAATATGAGGCAGCTGAAAACTTAAAGGAATCAACGCGACGTTCTGTTCCTAACCTGACATAAATGAGCCGGTGCGCTCGGCGCAAATTTCGGTGAGGGGACAGGCATGCTCGTGAACGTTTCTAAAAATTCCTAGATATTCGGATAGAGCGAACCAAATGCTAGCGATAAATGCTGGATGCAAGGTAATGAAATTATTGAGAGACTGCTGGCCGCATTTTACTATTGCAATAGGCTCATATTCATAGAACGATGAATGTATCAAGTGCTTTCGATGCTGCGGAACGTCCATTACCTCAAAACATAACGATTGTTTCCTGTATTTGTGCCATTAGTAGCAAGGCATATTCAAGTTTCGAATACAAGTGCAAAACAATATGAATCTGATGCCTACTTAGGCCAATGATTTTTTGCTGATCGGTCAAACTTGGATCCTAATTCGGAACGTCTATTTTGGTATAATCAATTGCAAGCAAAGGTCGGCTCAACGTCGATCCCGTCGTGGGCTGAAAACTGAAATATACATGAATTATTTAGAAGAAGCTGTTATTTGAAGTTTATGTATGCATTTCAGTGGAGATCAACCCAATGATGAACGTACAAAGCTGCTGAATACTACCAGGTATCAGCGAATAACACACTAAGTGAACGGATATATAAGTGGCTTAAAAATGATTCGCCACACAAAAAATTTAAAGTTGATTGCCACAGACCTTATAAGATTTATTGCGCTCTGATTAACAGATTGGTCAAAAACTATCTAAGCTAATTTGCAGTACTATTAGTACGGCGAATTATAAGTAATACTTGATTTGAAATATTGTTGAAAAAATGAGATTGTCTTAGAAGTTAAGTAACTCCTCATTACAAAATCAAGCCGCGGTTTCTAGCAGATCAAGTCATGGAGATACTTTTTCACCACTTGACTTATCTTTATCGATTATTCTACGCTGTTTGTTAGTTTGAAACTGTTCATAATTGTTATTCGTGTCATATGGTTACATAATAATTATTGCCGTCAACTACATTGACAAGTGAGAGAGAGAGACTGTCAGTCCACACATTAGCTCAAATCTATTCCTGGCTAGCTCGTCTCTCGCTAGAATATAGTAGAGAAATGTCGGCACTGAAGAGCAGACTAAATGGTCAGCTCACAGGTCTAAACATTTCAGAGATTTCACAGCGTTTTCTCCACTTGTATTTACAATCTCGCATCACCTTATACTCTAATGTAGACATGGGTTGCACAGCGATGGTCTGAAGTAATATTCGAATTCAAATTTAATATTCGAATTTAATATAGCTACACGGACTTGCATGTTGAATGCCGCATGACTGAACGTCGCGAGCTCCAATAACTTTACGCACACGTTCGAAGTTTCCCAGTGTCCGAACTGTTCGACCACTTTCTCGCGCAGCCCCTGTCTCATAAAACTTATTCGTTCAAAGTTTTTCACCACATCATTATCGTGTTAAACTTCGGAACACGACCATTACGCCCAGCGTAGTAATGATTCCAGAAACGACTCCGCGTTTTAATGACAGACAGGATCGTTTCAATACACGAGTTGTCCACGAGCACGCACTGCTCTATCGACCATTGTACTGAAATGGCGTCTATAGACGAGCAGATCCCCCCACTCTTCAACCCCATATTACTTCCTACTTAACGTGGCGTGCCGTTTGAATTATACAAACTTCCGAGCCGGACTATGCGCTTCATCTTAAATGGGAGTGATTAGACAGTATATTTTAAAATTAGAGTCCATCAAGAGTATTTTGAACATGGCATACCTGTTGTATTCATTTCGTTATGCAGAACTGAATACTAGTTCAGGAAGTATTTACAAAAACGAATTTGAAGCATGTAAGGATACATCGAAAGTCAAATATTTTTCAAGTATATTGGTCTCTCTCGACGGATACAAAGTCACGTTCGCAAGCCATAAATTTCATACACAAATAACAAAATTAGTGGAATAACAAATTCACTATCTAGATTACAGAGCGCCGCGGCCATCACCTCGCGGTTATTGTCTTACTAAACACACACTTTCGTCCTGTCTCCGTGCACCACTGGTAGAAGTGCAATACAGCCTGTATTAGTTCATATTGTGACTCTGAGAGTACAGATACTTCGTTGTTTGGTGACATGAAATGATATTGATAGAACAATTGTAAACACAGGAACAAGATAGAAGCGGGACAATGAGTAAACTGTATAACGAGTTTACCTGTTTGAATTTTGATACTATGAGAAAATAGTTGGAATGAAACTGGAAAAAATTCGAATCTATTATACATGTCTGGGGTCGTATTTTCAAAAATAGTTACTTTTTCGGAACGCTGTCAACCAATCATGACAGAAATCGGCCGCTACGTCGGCTACGTGTGCTAAGGCTGCTACTTAAGCTTGAGCGAGTTTTGATAGTACGGCCCCTGACGAATACACATTCCCATTTCTATTTTTCGAGTGCAAGAGATTAATGAAGAAACTACAGTAGAGTAATTATTGAGGTATGAATTCACGTCAGGTAATCAATTCTTCGCACACAACTAAAGATTTTTTTAGAGCATACATAGATATATGCAGGAGCAAGATCAGCAGAGCTGGCTGGCCAAAATGCAGTCGTCGCTCAATCGACATCGCATGACCGCATGTAATCGCCACCTAAAAACAAACGTATAGGGCAAACGTGCATCTCCGTAAGGGGAGAGTCACACTGCATGTTCCTCATAAACATCACCTTTCATAGCATCATTACTGCACAATAAGGATCCTAGCAAAACCACCTTATGGATGAGCATTTTTAATTCAGCTTGAGGTTTAAAATTGATAATCCGTCTTATTGGGCATCGCTAATCCGCATCAGTAAAAAAACAGTAATAATCCACCTAAGGAACAGCGTTTAGCCAGCGAGTTACTTTGCTGCCTGTTAGGTGCTTCGATTATTTGCAAAATAGGCGGTGACAGGACAAGATTGCGGCATTGTACAAAATGTTCAAGTTGCGATTGAATTTTTTTAATTATTCCTTTCAATTACGAAAAAGGTTTTCCACTACGCTAAGATATCTTTCAGTTTGTCAATATTTATGTGATATTTTGCAAATGCTTCTTGTTACCTCTCTCAACATTCTATTTAACATTCTTCTAACACATCGCGGTCACAGTGCCTTGCAATCTAAAGTTAACTAGTTTTCTTTTTAAATTTTGGCACGTTAACATATACATTGTACTTTATTTTGATCGCGAAACTGAGATAAATTATAAAATAAAACGACTAAGCTTCAATCATGAGTCATGAACGTATATACATTTCTGTAGAATTCATTGAAGACCAGAGAATTTGTTTTATTCGTAATTTTCTTATTAGTTTTTTCAATATATCGAACAAATGCCGTAGATAATATATTCTAGTATAGATACTAGGAGAAATGCCGTATCCTAACATAGGTACCGCTGAAGAGAATCAGGTTGCATCCTCATTTAGACCCTCGTTAACGAAATAAAAATGTCCATCGGTAACCTGATTTTCGATTTGCCAGTTCAAACTAAAAATATTGTTCGATATATTGAAAAAACTAATAAGAAAATTGCGAATAAAACAAATTCTCTGGTCTTCAATGAAACCTGCTTGAAAGAAGAAATTCTGCCAACCTATACTAATTTCTGTAGAAGTGTCCCAATTTATACCAAGAAGAAACAGAAATTCTACCGTGCACATGATACTAAGCAACGGAATCATCAGCTAACCAAGAATAATTAAGTAACATAGACGACTAACGGGACTAGTAAATTAATGTTCCTTCAGCGACGACTAGAATTCAAACGAGTTCTGTCACTTGCAAAAAAGGAGCAGCATAACGTTTAATAAATCTATTTATTATACGGTGCTCACGTTGCGACGTAGTCGCTGTTTTCAGATGCATAATCTTTTTCTTGTTGGCTGGAGGGCAGATCAAGTGAATGCTCGTTCGCATGGCAGTCCGTTCTGTGGCGGAATCTCCATTTGGGATGGAGAGGGTATAACTCAAAGCTCTACAATTAGTAAGCCTATTCAACTACAAAAATTATTTCAGTTTAAATTCTAAAGTGTCACCGTGGATTTCGAGACAGGTTTGATTCGGTGCCCTTTATCAGTTCTAAAGATGATCATAAGCATTATATAATGACATGTATGAATGTAGTTGCTGCAAGTTATTCACGCGTAGTTACACACACTGCTTATCTCTTACAAAAAACCATAATTGTTGTTGTTATATCAAAGGTCCTCACGCATGGAGCAGCGCAGAAAAGTCGGCATAAAATGCGTTGTCGCACTGTCAAATTTAGACATTTTTAGACTGCATTACTACTGCTTTTGTGAATTAAAAAGCATACAAGTGCAAAAAAAAAAAACAGAGATTTCGTCGCCATTAGTTAAAATCCTTTGACAGCTACAAATTAAAAATAAGGTTAATCATTTCTGTTGTACGGACCAATTTAAATGTATATAATTAAGAGTAATTAAAAGTTATAAATAATGCAGGAAATATATCCACTCAGCTATGATATAGTACATACGTAAACAAGTATGACAACAAATATTAATTCTAATCACCTAGTAACAATGAACGATTTAATGATCTCTCAGTAACAGTAACAACATCAACAAGAGTGAAACTTCCAAGGCAAATACACAAGTAACAATTATTTCTACGTCTAATATTCCTCTCCCATGTTACTGCATTTCTTCACACGATGTGACGTCAAATACGCGGTATATGTGATAGCTTTCTAAAATATAAAAGATCGCGTTATGTCTGCACATTATCACATTCATTATTTTTCACATCAAACGTCAACGGTTGACGTTTCCAGGATGTAAAATGAAACGCTGCCTTCATCAATATCGTTAGTGAATGAAAAATAAAGTAGAAAGTAAAGCCATTTTCACTTTTTTCGCATAGCGATCAAACTGTTGAAAATGAACATCAGTTGTCGACACTTTGTTGCGTCAAGATATTTGTGTTTGGCCGCTGTTCTCAATGTTCACAGAACGTAACGGCTAGTACAAACGTCTCGTATGGCTTGCTTTACTTACTGTAGCCTCTACCGCACAAACGTTACAGGAGCGTTCCAAACCAACACCATGGAGATAGGAAGCAAGCAAGCAAGCAAGTGACAAAGAAGAGTGTCCAATGTCTTTGACCTTCTAATGTCTTTGAGGTGTAACGAAAGACCACGGCAACTACGGCTGATTTCTTAACTGAAATGAAGTACATTTAATGCTACTAACAATCGACATTTGCGTCAGAATGACACACACATTTTCGACATTTTCAATCAGAATGGTTATCGGTCATCTCGAATTTGTTCTTCGTCGATTTGGATGGAATACATCAGCATGGAAATACAGGGAGAGTTGATGTGCTGCTGAAGACAAGTTAAATGACTGTAACCCTGTCCTGACGGCAGCGGGCCGCTCGAGAGGTGTCACGACACGCCTGCGGTAAGCTGGCTACGATTCTTTAGCCGTTTATTGGTGTGTCCTCGTGGTCGAAATTTGGCGTGTGCGTAAATCGGGTAGTGTTTGCTGAAGGCGGAATCGGTTTTTATAGTTGAAAACAGTCACTGCTAAAGAAAATGAAATGAAAAGAACAAAAAAAAAAATTTTCGTGCGCCTACTAGTGAAATGTCTTGCAATAAATTGATTGAATTATTTAATAAAGAATTGTTGAATGACGTAGGAGCAGGAGCTACTTTTCTAGAAACACATCACTCTTGGCTGAAATAATCTAAATGTGTCATTTACCACTAAACGAGCACAATTACAAACGCTTGCAATCCTATTTTTTCTAGGAAACTACCTAAAATGTCTCAAGTCTCAAGATGTCTTACGACTTAAAATAGCCTTAGATTTATCCTGCAACAAGAGTATTGTCAACTAATGGTTTAATTTTTGATTTAAAGTGATATATCGAACTGTTTACACACATCATCTGCTACCACGAGCCAATCAGGCACTTCTTCTGTTTTACTGGAATAAGCAGCAGCCAGAGCAGCAATTTTGCCCTGAAGAGAAGGCTGGGTGGGGCTGAGGGATGCCCTAATATCTGCCGTGTTAGGACCGCAGAGATCCTGGCCTAGCAGACAGAGCTTTCGATGCGGCATATCATTGCCGTTAAGCCGTCCAGGATCGACATCCTCACGATCATCAGCTTCCGCCGAATGATTTTCTTCTTCCGGAGTCTGACACGAAATACCTTGGTTTTGGAGTCCAGAGACTGTTCCGCTGTCTTCTTGACAATCATATAAACTATTACAAAAAGAAGCTTGCGCAGTGTGTGGCAAGTTTGGTGTCTGATCCGTCGTTACTCCAGACACTGTCTGCGACTTTCTTGTCAATCTATCACAGGATTTTTCTACATCAGAAGTCTCCAACGACGCTGCCTGTTGATGGCCTACAACTGTACTGTAACCGCATAGCTCGTCATAGCTTGCGGGGAGTAGATTATCGGAAACGATGGCTGGCATTACAGGCGAGGGCTTCAAAGAAAGTGGCTCGAGGGATTCCCTTTGAGGATCTTTTTCAGGGGATGCGGTTGAATTAGCCAATCGCACTTCTTCTGATGCAAATGCTGCATTATAACTAAAATGGCCAGATGTATTTTTATCTGGTATTGAGTTTCCAGTTTGATATGAATTCCATGATAACAAAGACAGAGTGTGATTTTCGCTGTCGTCACTTTTCAGTGAATTATTAATAAAATGTAAAGTATTCGATGCCGCTTTTCCTTTATTCGAGTTGAATGGGCTTTCGAAAAAATCGTCGTCACTGTCCAGTGCTTCAGCGGCTGGATTCAATTCGTGGTTACTCAGATGACCATTGCTTGTACGGTGATAATCTCTCGGGTTTGACTCGGCAAAGAGTATGCTTCCATTGTCAGAGAATTTTTTTACCTCTTTCTGAGATGAAATTTCATCGTCTTGCTTTTTGTCTGAAATTTCATTAGCAGTGTCGATGCCAACCGGAAGTTCTGATAGCGCATTTCCTTTTTTAAAGTGCGTAGTATTGTCCTGCAAATGCGAAGCTGTGTCATTATTTTCAAGTTTTTTTACTGCCAAACATTCTGAATCAAGAGCGGCTGTTAATGTAACCGGGGATAATCTGTTAGAAAAATCTGTTCTGTCTGAATGATTGGGCAAACGGGCTTGAATGTCGTCTCGAGCCTCCGGACTTTCTTGAGTTTTATCTTCGTTCGTCTCAAGTAAATCTGATTTTGGGTGGCATGCAGGTTCTGAAGAATAAAGCAGTGACTGGTCTGTTTTGTTGTCGTAGTTTTCAGGGGAAACTGTCGTACGTTTAGTATTGGACGTATCATTACATTGCAGAGAATCTAACGGTGGTAAATACAAAACGTTTGGCACACATTGTGTTTCGCATTCTTGATCATCTTCATGGCCACATTCAATGGTATTAAAGAAAGGACTTGTGAAGCCCAAAGCTTGAACAACCTCCTCCCAGGTTTTAGCATTTTCTAATATTTTTGTCGACTGATCTCTGATCCCGCACTCAGTTAAAATTTGACTAGCCCATTTAGCCTCGAGGATTTCGTCATGAGACAGCCATCTGACCCCCTCTCTAGAGTCTTTAGTTTTATCTAAGACTTCACGCAAGTGCAAGGCCTCTGCAGGCAAAATTAAATAATTTTCCTCTAAATCTTTTACTTCATTGCACTTTTTCTCAAGCCTTGATCCTCCAACCTGACTGGTATCTTCAATAAATTTAACATTTCCTTTCTTATAGCCTGACCCGACAGAAGGTTCAGGATGATTGCTCTTACTATCTTCCGTGTCTTCTTGACCGACTCCAAATTTATTTTTAATATAAATAGCTATAACATCAAATTGTTTTCTTGAAACATGCATATATTTTCGTCTATATAGATCCAGTAAAGTTGTGATTGCATACTCGCTGTAGATTCCAACTTCTTTAATTTCTTGCATAATCTCATGTTTGATTTTTTCTGAGATATCTTCGTCCTCGATTTTGATTATATTTTCAACTTCTTGCTGGTCTACAGTGACCTTTCTTTTCACATCCCCTTGTTTCTTCTGGTGCTGCATGTGCTTTTCTCTGTGATGAAGTTTATGCTGCAATGACTTGAGTTTCAGGTTTTTAGGGCCATCAGGAGTCGGCCCTCTGCTCCCAGTGTAAGCGCTGTCCACACTAGCTTCTGCATGGTCTCCCAAGTTCGTTTTCAATGGGCTAGAAGCATTCATGTTCACGTCTAAGGCACATTCTGAAATCTCGTTCTCGCTTTCGTAGCAAGTGTCTTCGGCTTCTGTGTTATTCGTGGTATTGGTTAAATTTTCTTCTATCGTCGAACTCTTTTGTTCATCAGTTTGCGGCGTGTCTGCCAGTAAAGTTCCACAATACTTATTTTGATTCTGGCCAACAACTTTTTTGTCTGCAAATAAATTCTTTCTAATTGACATTTCCTTTTTTTCCATCAATTGGCATCCCGAATCTTTCCTTAAGATCCGTGGTTTGTATGGCTCAAGTTTTGTGAAACATCTTTCGTGTGTCACTAGCAAATCACTAGATTTTGAACGGGTTCGTAACCTGCCATTGCCATGCGATGTAATAATATGAGAAAAACTCTGCTTGTGATCACTTTCATCGAATCTTTTCGAAATAATCCAAGTTTGACAGCTTCGTGGGCTCGTTTTTCTTTCTTTACTACTACTGCCTCTCGACGGTCTAAGAGTGGAATAATCTCTTTGAGAACTAAGAATTTTACGTTTCTTTTGTTCGACAATTTCTGAAAGTACTTCTTCGACTTTCTTTAGAAATGCTGCATTTTCAACAGTGGAGTAAGTTTTGTCAAGTTTTATCACATCGGTGTTTTGCGGTCTGTTAAGGATCGTATCGTTTTTCTCTGCAAGAATCTGATCGTTTAAAGTATGGACGGCTGAGGTTATTGGCCTTGAGTGGGAAGAAGCCTTCAATGTGGCTGCCTTCGCTGATTTCGATCGCTGCTGACTATCTTTGGCGGCACGTGAGATTCTCATCTTCGATGAAGAACCGGATAATGATGAACTTGAGGATCGAATTTGACTGGAATAATTTGAGTTGTTTTGAAAATGTTTTCCTCTTTGATGGCCCAATGGTCTTCCAAATCTTGTATCTATAACACTAGTCTCAAGTTCCGACGAAGACGACTGGGAAAGTGTCCTAAGCGAAACACTTTTGTTTCCATCCAACTCGGCGGTTTTCGACTTGAATTTAACCCGACCCTTTTGAGGATGGAAAACAGCGTCGTCGCTGCTACTTCCACTGAAATCGGGAGTGTTCTTAACTTTGGGCTTTGTGCCACTGTTGGGTGGGGCTTCTGCTTCAACAAGGTTTTTGGATTGTTTAGCTGAACTCAAGTCTGACAAAGAGGCGACAGCGGAAGGGAATTTCGACACTTCTAGGGAATCACGGGGGACAGTCATGGTTTCATCCAAAGATTTGTTCCTTACGAAGTGGTGTTTTGAACTTGTCTTCGCGAGCTTCTTTGCTTGTTGCGCGCTTTGGTCGACAGCAAAGAGTGGTGTCATCATAATACACGATGATGTGCTCACTAACAAAACTATAATTTGAGCGCAAAATATTAAGCTGACAGACTCAGGGCCCTTGAACAAAAGCTCGCTGTCAACAACTAAACATGAAAAATATTCGAGTCGCTGCTCGCATGGTAATGCGAGTCTGAAGCTGCAGTGACCGGGGCCAGTCAGAGGAGATAGGCGAGAGGAGACGAAGAGGGCGATGGTTCGGTGAAGCTCCTGACGATGGAAGTGCACGGCGACCATATCTGAGAGAAGAAAACAAAACTATTAGACTTGATTTACACGTCATGCTAGATATCTCTTGTCTTTCAGATACTCTAAATAGCTCTTGTCTTTCAGATACTAATTAGAATGTGATAAACCCAATTAGCCATGAAAAGTAGAAGCGGAGTAGAAGGATTTCCTGGTACAATTTCAATATGACCGAGATAAGGAAAAATATAACTTGAAGCTCGTCCGAGTTTTATGAACTCGCTCCGTTAGTATCTGAAATCCACTGCGCGAGTTTAAATACCAAAATTTACTTTTCAAGTCCCGTTGTTCGTGCCTATCTAACAAAGAGCAGACGCTCCTCCAATTTGGAAGAGCTGAAAATTGTTGACTGTCCCAATAGAGATAAATTTTATTCAGCTACGACGAGAGACGCTGGGGTGGAGGGCAAGTGTTTTTCCCTGTTGCCGTGTAATAAGGTTCTAAGTTTATGACTAAATATCTGTTGAATTATTTCAATGTACAATGACTAAATATCTGTTGAATTATTTCAATGTACAATCTTGTTGACCATAATTATCGCACTTAATAATCAGGAATATTGGATTAATCACGCACAGTCAGTATGATGATAATCGTGGAAGGTTTTTTTTTGCAAGCAAGATTAACTTTAAATGGCATTATAATTAGTCATGTCGTCTGACTTAAACCTCCAGAATCGTCGAGTTCTTAATAAAGAACGCTCAATGTTTTTCGACATCTGTCCAGGGAAATGCGTGGGACCAGCGTAGAAATGTGAAATGTGAGGGCGCACCGTAGAAATTAGAAATGTGAGGGACCAGCGTAGAAATGAAAAATGTGTGGGAATAGCGTAGAAATGAGAAATGTGTGGGACCAGCGTACGTAGAAAGACCAGTTACCCTCACATTATTGAAACTTATAAAAAACCGACTTTTTCCGAAGAACGCACCGTCTCATGAAAAGCGAAAGTATTTTAAGATATCGAACATATACAAAAATTTTAGCCATCAAAGATATATTAATTCAATAGGCCAGCAAAGCCAGAGAATTTTGTCTGACTTTTGCCAGCAAACAACTCAACCGGCGCGAGTGCAGCGGTGAGACTCCTCAATTTTGTTCCAATTCTTCCCCAGGCGGATTGCCAAGGTAGCTTCTCTATGAAAGCGCTCTGAAAAAATCTTTAATCAACAAAATACGCTTAGTCACGAACATCGATTGCTTTCTGGTCCCAGTATCAATTGAGAGTATATATAGTTCCTATGACCGCTATTCGTTTCTGCATTCAGAAGAGGCATACTCGTGTGCAAGAGAAGAGGTCGATCGAGGCGATATATTTACCCGCCCACTATAAACTGTAATTGCCACGATGTGAAAAGTTGCATGATAGTTTTTTGGCGGCAAATGAAGTATAGTTATTGAATAAGCTTTTAGTTATTAATTAAATTAGTTTTAGAAATTACAATCCGCACGGTACGTTTTTTAGCGATTTCTGTGAATAATACAAAATGCTCTCAAAGTTTTTACAAACAGAGAATTGTCTAAAAATTTTCTAAAAAATTACAAAATTTATATAATTTTACTGACCTTTTTCATCCTTGTCACTTTAAAACAATGCAAACACATCGGCAAAATATTGCACTACTCGCAGAAAACTTTAAGACTTCCTCGTACATTCCGCTAACTCAAAGAAAGAAAAGAGGTCGGCAATACTCGCCGAAGTTCAGCACTGGGCGCTATTGCTGAGCGAGAAATTGCCACAGCCTCAGATTCTCGGCCAACATCTCTGTATCCTGCCACAGCCTCAGATTCTCGGCCAACATCTCTGTATCCTGCCACAGCCTCAGATTCTCGGCCAACATCTCTGTATCCTAAATCTCATCTTTACGAATTGTGTCCGCGAGCCAGCGATCTAGGATACCCTTGACGCAGCACTAGTGGGTTGCTGCTGAAGATAACAAACTTGATTGTTACAAATGATAATCCAATGGCTAGGTCTAAATTACAAGAGGCCATGAAATATTGGGGAATTTCAAGATTCCCTAATTTAAATTTTAGCGATTGTAATCCGAACTTGAGAAATTATTGGGATCTACCAAAGACTTTGATTTGCAGTATAATTTATCCTGCCGGTTCACTCCATGAAATTAATTTTTTTGCCACCGCGTTCATGCGAATGAGTTATCATGTAAAAGTGAACTGCTGGTTCCTCAAATATAATAGTTATTCAGTAATTGACTTTGAAGGCATGATCTAAACACTATCAAATTTCATTATGCAAGCATTTTTTTTTAATTTTATCATTTTTCGGCATAAATAGTAGGGATTCATCGTAGAGTTACAATGAGATTTTTCAGGCATTTTTACTGCGATTACTTCAGTCAAGACCATTCAAATGACTGTGATGCATTGGAATGCAAGCTCAGCAAAATTAAATAAGTTCAATAATAGTATATCAGGCAATATAAATAACAGGTCTTTGAATAATCTCTGAATTGCATAAAAGGCAATATACAAAACTGCTCTTTGAATGACATCAATGTCTACAGTTTTTCATTGTATCAAAACTTCCGTCATTATGAAAAAATGGTCCATGGTGTGCAGCCTCATAACCTGGAATGGTTTAATCAGTTGTGCTATCAACAAGAAAAAAGAGTAGATTGAATTAAATGTTAATTCGATGAGAAAGTCCAACAACATTTTTTCCATGTCTGAAGGAACGATTCAAGTTGGCGGCATATTAATTTAATCAAATTTTTCATTTAGAAATCAAGCAACGCATTCACCGTAGCAGCAACAAGATTATCGTGTTGCCGAAGAAGCAGAGTTTGGGGTGATATCAGAGGCATGGTTAGGCTTTGCGGCTTTTAAATTGCAAAAAAAGTCTCATGTGCTCACATGACGCAAAAGTTGGCCGTCGAGTGTCCTGAGCTCAATAACTTTCCAAAAGAATTCTCATATCGATGTGACTGATACTAGAGAATGCAAGAGAAGCTTTGAAGTGACTTTTTGAAAGGCATCATTCAGCGACACGTATAGTTTATAAGCAAAGAAAACGCCAAGTAAGATCACCATATCTTCAGTGAAACGTTTTGGAGACCAGCTCCATCATCAGTTCTAATTTTTCAAAGTACGAGTACCATCAACAGGAGAAATCAAAATAAACACGAAAATGAATAAAGCCTATATAAGACAAGGAAACCACAAATGAACATAAAACTCAACGATTTGCAATTTCTAGAGTAGTATGAGAACTGTACGCATCATTGAGACAAGGATTCCGTTAAAAAATTTCATACTCCCAAATCCTCAAGTTTTCTGATTCTAAAATCTTAACGTACATCATGCAGTGCTCAGCAGCACTAGCTAAGTGAATGCGCTGCAAACCATAACGTCTGATCCTGTCGTGTCTTGTTATTGTCGCGGTACAAACTCAATGAAAAGAAAATAAATGAAGCCAACAAAGCTTGTCGTCTCATGAGCGTGCTACAGCAATAACATCACTTCGTTAAGGATTTCAAGTGCAGTAGTGCAAGCAGCCTTGTAATGTGAACAAATAAGCGTAAGCCTCTTCTCCAGATGTCAGCGTTTCGATACCATTGAATGCATACGCAAGAGAAGAAAATAATCTGAAGTGGTCGGAGCCATTGTAATGAAATCATTTCCATTTCCTCTGCACTGCCCAGCATTGTGCGCTCGTTGGTTAGAGATTTTAATTTAAACCAGTTTAGTCATTTGATTAGGAGTTTGAAGCAACATGAATATAGTGCTGCTGTTTACAATGTTGCAGATAACACAATTGCAAATATGTCTCAAATATTCAGACGTAAATGATCTAAATAATCAAAATCTTCATTTATTTTAAAAAAGGTGGTCCTTGCTATAGGACGGGCCTAATACAACTCATATTTATCATTCGCTTGCAGAAGTTAGCGCTACCGCACTGGTCCTAAGTTGATTAACTTGGTGAGCAATTTGCGAACGTAGCCAGCACGGCGGAAATTTGTACGTCTTGGCATTTACAAAGAGGACAAAGCCAGTTGGGAGTCGCACGTCTTAACACGATTTAGGCTTCATTCCAGCGCGGGATGCCACAGCAGGCTTTATAATCTAATGTTAGCGTCTCCACAGCTTTCTAAATCCCTTAGACAGAAGATACATCACAAGTCCACGATGAGAAACTCAGTTTAAATTTGCGTAATTAGTTAATAATAGTCGGAAATACTTCAAATTACTCGTCCTAGGCATTTAAAATAATTGATGCTACTACCGGTTGAAGCTGAGCCCGTGAAATGAAAAGTCGAAAATAGTACAATTAGTCCTATTCTGAAGGTTTTAGTATAGTAGCGAGCGTACCGTACATTAAAAGGTCTTTTACAGGACATATAGATCGCCCATTAAGAGGCCAGCGAAAGTCTAGAGCGAATTGCGCCAATCACGAAAAAATTAATCGAAAATGTGAGGAGTCGAAATGATTGCGCATGGTGAGCGCGTCGCGTTATGAAGAGGATGACTGACAGAAATGATAAAACTAACTCGCTCTGTTTTACGTGTTTTCTCAATTATAAAAGTTTTAAGTGGTGATCGTTTCGTTTCAGAACGCTTGAGAACTTTTCAGCATTTCTTTTAAATTCTTTACAAATATTTGAGGCATGTATTGCATTTCTGTGGAAGCTGGGGAATAGTTCATTAAAGAAGCAGAAAAAAGAAATAGAGGTTGAAGTTTAGTTTCTGGTGCAGAAGTAATTTTTTATGATAGAATACGATTGGTATCAAACCAACACAAGGTTTGGAATAAGGGGAATGGAACACAACGTATTCATCATCAAGCAAGCGTAATCACAATTTTCTCGTCCAGCTGCGAAGAGTCACACCAAAAACTTCATGTACATTGCCCCGCTCGATGGGTCTGAATCTGCGACAAAGCGCCCCGTTTCAATATTTGGTCATCGCACTCAACCTGATGGCTGTAATAAAAGATGTGTAATGCCAGGCGTCAAACGATAACAAAATGCAA